GTTATATTGTGGGTTTAAATCTTTTCTTTAAAATTGAGATTATTTCTCGTGTTTATTGTTTATTTATTACTTATTATTTAATTGGTCTGAGAACAGGAAAATCTTTATAAAATCTTAGAAAAAACTGGGGTTTCTAACATTTTATCATACCTAGTAAATAACAAATAAGTAACTATGTTTAATAGGTTAAATTACAGTATAAAGAAATGAAGGAGTTTTTTTTTACAAATAATAGAAGGGGTTAGTTATTTAATATAAGTAAATGAAAATACCTATTTATACTTTCTTTGTTGAATGGTCTAATAATGATTGTTTTACAAAATTAATAAACTTTGATGTTTAATGACACCACCATATGTTCATTGCTGACATTCATTCTAGTCTTTTTTAGGCGTACCCAACATTTCCCTTGTGACTGTGGAGACTGTGTATCTAATTATTTATTTCAGAAAAGGCAAATATATTTTTTTATTGAAAATAAATAAATCTATATATTAATAGGCAAGCATGTTTCTTGTAACCCTTTTTCTCAGGTTGTGTGTTTCACGGGGAAAATCTACGCATACTGTTAGAAAGACATTTACCTGTAGACGTGCAGGATCCCTTTATGAAATATAATAGGCTAAAACATAAGCCCAAAAAATGAATTTAAAATTTAAGAAAAATTACATGGGCCTTATGGGTTGCCATTGATGCTGGTGACAAAATATTACCGGTAACAGAAAATCTAAACAAATTAAAGACATTCCAATCACATGTTTTATTTACAGTGTGGAATGGAAGTAGAAAAGTTTACACAATACATATTTTTGGTCGAGATTTTAAACACGGGACGCCCTCTAGTATGGTTTAAAGTTCCCCCAGAATAAATATTTAAGTCTGTAATAACTAATTGTTTTACTAATGTAATATTATCTAATCTACCAGCTTGAGAATATTATTAGTTGAGTTTAAAAAATAATATAAATAATAAATTAGTTGTAACAATCAAAATAGATTCATAATCAAAACTGTTGAGAATACCAGATGGCAGGAGTGTATGAATTGCTTGATTTTTCTCTTGACACAATTTAACAGGTCTCCACTGTTCAAAGCCCCACTGTTTCATGAATACCCTGGTTAAAATGATATTTTCTTAAGTCTAGCTTCCAAAGTAATCAACCACATGGTGGTGGTTTTGTGGGAGGGGGAAGTAATAGGAGGGGCTAGCCTAATGTGATGGAAAATGATTAAATGTAAAGGGACAGTGTCCACGGACAAAGAGTCATACCAACAGAAGATCTCTCTTGTATTTTACAAAAGAAGATTTTAGTTACGTTGAAATTCTTTATGAAGATATTTTCATCAATTAGTCAATTCCTATCATCTTTGCACTTGAAAACTATAGTTCGGCCGCTTAGAAAGCGACCTCCTCTAGCATTGGTTTAGCATTAGCGTGCAGGTCGTTTTCTAAGCGGCCGAACTATAGTTTTCCAATAATGAACTGTAATATCACTCATGTTGGTAATGTTCACATTATTAACATATGTTTTTGTTATTATTTTTATTGTTGTTTATTTATGTTTAGATTCAGTTTGTCTTGAGTTGTGATGAAGATAGTTTCATGATATTACAATACCTATTAAATTATAGTTCGGCCGCTTAGAAAGCGACCTCCTCCAGCATTGGTTTAGCATTAGCGCGCAGGTCGTTTTGTAAGCGGATGAACTATAGTTTGATATAAAAGTTGTGTTACTTTATGTGCCCCAAGTAGACTTGTCAACAACTCGTAAAACAGTGACACTGAGAAATACAAAAAATTTTATTAGTTACAGGTTTTGTATTTTGTGTTTGTCAACTGTAAACTTCTTGCATATTCACGCTTACCTTTTTTTAAATACATCATATTTGGAGATATATGGTTTGGTAAAGAGTTGTTATCATTTAAAAAAATAAATGAGTAAAAAACATGTTAAAAAGTGTACAGTATATAACTGAATTAATATGTTGTTTGAGTTGTGAGGTAAGTTGGGAGTTACAAAGCCACAGAAGTTGTGGTCAAAGCTTGGCATCCCTCTGTTTCCTTTTGTTCTGATAATCTTCATTAACTTAGGTTGCACAGTTCGTGCCATACATATTAACAATAGGAAGTTGGTATTGATAGGCTACATGCCTATATTAGGAAAATATATTTAGTCTGTTACTAGAGTTCTCCCTGTGGTCGAAAACTCGACCAAAAGTATGTATTGTGTAAACTTCTCTATTTTCACTCCACGCTGTAAATAAAACATGTGATTGAAATTTCTTCCATTTGTTTTTATTTTCTGTTTATATTTTGTTGTTATTTCATACCAAAATGGCAACTCATATAAGGCCCATGTAATTTTTTTTAATTTTAAATTGATTTTTGTGTTTTTTAGCCTATTTTAATTTATAAAGGGATTCTGCACATCTACAGGTAAACATATTTCTAGCAGTATGCGTAAATTTTCCCTGTGATGCACAGGAGCTGAGAAAAAAGATTTTTAATAAACATGCTTGCCCATTAATATATAGAATTAGTCCCATGTCAAATCTCCTTAAGAAAAGTTGAAATTGCATTTTTTACCCAATTAACTTAAATATTTTCAAAATACAAACTAAACCTGCATATATAGGACCGATAACCTTTCTTTTGGTAAAACCCCCTGTGTAAATCGGTCCAGAAGTATGGTCAGGGTGGCTGTCATAAGCTAAAAAATTTGGCCCCATGTTAAAGTTCCATAAGAAAAGTTGAATTTCCATTTTTGACCCAATCAACATAAATATTTTCAAAATACAATTAAAGCCTGCACATATAGGACCAATAACCTTTCTTTTGATACAACCCGCGTGCAATTCGGTCCAGTAGTATGGCAGGCTAGTTGTCATTAGTTTTGCAGAAGTTTTTTAATATATAAGATTTTTGCAGGATATAAATTGATGGGAGGATTAATATTTTTTATTCTCTGAATAATAAATTGCAGGATTGTCTAGATTTTAAACATTTCATAATTCTAAGGTTCTTTTTAGAATTTTGAAAATGGTTTTGGCAATCGAACAGCTGCCCCTAAACTCTATCCCATACAACATGTTTGACCCAGACAAAGCATAATAAACAATCATCCTTGCTATGAGCTCAGTAACATGCTACAGGACAGACTTCTGGTAACAGACTATATTTAGTTTACAAGAACAAGTTTTTTTTTTATGAACCACATAGTTGTTTAATATTAACTACCCTGAAATTATAGAAAGAAAAAAAACTATCAAGTACAATAAATAATAAGAACATTTAAGTGTCAAAAACATAGAGTGTTAAAAGATGTATCATATACAGTACATACATTATTTGGGAAGAACATTTTGCTGCCATTTACGATCACTCGTAAGACTAATGTGTGAGGTAGAGGGTGGAAGAGATAGAGAGAGAGAGAGATACACAAAGAGGCTCTTGAAAGATGAGTGACTCCCACTCTCGCAAAGATATCTGCAACACAAAATGCTTTGTGTCTTTTGTGTAACTTCCTCGAGTTAAAATCTTGATTCAAATTTTGCTCTACCATAACTGTAGTAGCTTATACTTATGTGGGTTAAATAAATTGTAACCCTTACTTATTTAAGCTCTAGGGATTAATCGATTTATTAATCTATGTGAGCTTATTTTATCCTGTTTATCTCAAATTTAAAAAAAATTTCAAAAGAGTTGTTGGTGCACACAAACAGCTAAGGCAAGTAAAAAGTAGATGCCTGAAATTTGAATCCAACCATTGCATCAACTTCCACCCGTCTTGTCCACTGTTAATTTTAAGTGTGCATATCCCACAAAGCATACTCTTACTGGCAAACTCGAAATGCATGCCTAGCTAAGGAGACCATGTCTTGGACGGCTCTGTTATTGTTAGACCTGCTTAGCAGTTCAAACCCTGACTCCCATTTTATAGTATATGTCAAGAACAGCTGTCTACTGTTTTATTTTTGAGGAGTTTTTGCAGAATGTAGATTTTTCAACTCTTAAATGTGATGCCAAGCAGTCTTGATGATTATTTGTTCTTGTTATGGTCTTTTCCCTGTTAATTTCAAAGTTTTTTATTATTACTGATGCTTTATCCTTTTAAGATTATTTTAACTTTATTTTAACATTTTCTGTAGCCTAATATTTTATATAACATATGTAACAAAACATAAGTGCAGGTTTGGTTATGCTATTCTTGATGGCAAAAATATCAGCATTTAGGAATCAAAGGGTGAAAACATTTAAAAGGGTAAGCACAATAAAATGTTATAATGTAAATATAATGTTTGATGTGTTAAAGGCGGTTTTTTTAGTTGCTGAATTCAGCTTTAGGATTGTGAATATCATGATAGTTTTGTACTGCCTGCGTTTTTGAGCAAGGGAATCTTAGAACTGGGATATTTAATTGCAGAGTTGTTTTACACATCAGTTTTTAGGAATCTTATGTTCTCAGTTTCTTCCTTTTCAAGGCCGTCTTGAAATGTAGATGTGCGATGATCCAAATACAAATTATGTCCCCCAACTATATCTATAATTTTGAATCTCAGACAAAGAAAATTTTAGTTCACTTTTATATTGCCAAACGAAAAAATTGGTTTAAAATTGTTTTGGTGTCATTCATTTACTAATTGTATGCTTTAGAACTTGTTGTTAATACAAAGTTACTGTCATAATTGAGAACCGATACAATTCACCTCTGCATAACAAACTGTCAAAAATAGGCGGGAAGTAAGTCTATGTCGCTGCTGGGTGCTGGACGTCTGCTGCGGGATACAGTGCCAAACCCGGCAGCTTGGAAAATCCTGCACCTGATCCCTGTGTGTTGAGTTGGTAATGAAAAAAGCAGGCGTATTTGGCAACCAAATTTGGCAGCTAGGAAACTGGCCTAAACCAATAAAAATATTGTCTTAATTTTGACAGTAAAATTTTAGACAACCTGTAAGTATTGTTTAGAAATAGTTCACTGATAGAACGGTTGATGTTGCAGGGTCAGGAAAGTCATTCACCATGATGGGCAGTCAAGAGCAGAAGGGTATCATCCCCAGGTTGTGTGATTCCTTGTTTGACATCATTGCCAGACAGCAGAGTCAAGAACTCACATATAAAGTGGAGGTCAGCTACATGGAAATATACAACGAAAAGGTAGGTGAAAATTACATTTTATTTTCACATTCCTCTAACAGTCTTAAGATGAAAAGTATCATTCACAACTTGTTTCCTGGCTTTTTCTCCAATTATTCCTGTCCTCTCTTTGCATCATTCGTGAAAATCAATCTCACATGCTTGACTTCATCTCAAATTTGAAATTATTTAAACAGATAAAATTTTTTAAGGCAATTAAACTCAAAGCATGTGATGGAACAACATTTATTGACAAATTTTGCAATATTTATATATTCAGTTACATTTTATAAAATTCTTCTTGTGAAGGGTAACTGTTTATTTATTCACCAACAATTTCAAGAGAGTGTAATTATTTCAAGAGTTAACTGTTTTGAAGACAGCTCTTGGTTTAGGCGTTGACCCAGTTCTTTTCAGCTGTAGGAAAGCTTTGACAGCTGACTCAGAAACAAGAGGGGCTCCACTGTTTTAAACCACTTTTTAAGACGTCAGCTCTTACAGAAAAAAACATTTTAATCTATTTAATAACATGACAATTCAAACTTGGAATTGGTCAGTAATAATTAACTTTAAGACGATTAATCAGTTACAAATTATATTCTGTCGTATCAAATATGAATTTAATAAGTTATTTTATGAATTAAATTATGAAATGAATAGTTTTTTACATCCTGTCATTTTAAATTAAAAACTATATTTTTGTTTCTTTTTAATTCTTTATCACTTGATTCATCGTGTAGAATTGGCCCAATAAAATAATGTATACTTTGTTTATATTTTATGTATTTGGTGATATGGGTAAAAAAAACTTTTGTTTGTTAAAGGAAGTTTACTGAAGCACCTCGTACTTCTTGTTGCCTTCTTTTTGTACAGTTGAAACTATTAACAATTTATGTTATGTATATATATCGACTATGTATATTTGTTAAAAAAACACTTGAGACCTCATTCTCATCAAAAATCATCAACATCCATATAACACGCGACATAGAAACACTCTTCAGTTCCCTATCCATAGAACTGTTATTTACAAGAAAGCTCCTTTGTATATGGGTAGGAAACTATTCAACCACCTCCCTAACCAAATTAAATCGACAGACAAGATGGATATTTAAAAAATACTACTTAAGGAATATTTGGAACTTCTTTGTCCTTATTCAGTTAAAGAATTTTTTTGGTAACTTAACGTTATATTTGTCATCTGCTAGCGCTGTATTACAGTGTATGGGGAGAATTTTGGTGCGTCTGTATTAGTTTATCGTATATGCCGTTTTCAAAAATTGAGCAGGAGTTTTGGAGTTTCGTCACCATATTTGTAGATTAGTTAGCTCCTGTCTCAGGTGTGCTGAGTCTCTTACATCTTCACATCTCCAAATAAAGTTGCTCTTCTTCCAAAAACAGATATTTGGAAAGATGTAAAATATGTTAAGTTATAACAAATAGAAACAAAGAAATGGTGATTCTCTGTTGAACCAAGAGGAGGTTTAGATACCACTTTGGAGCATGAATTGCAAACAGTTGTTTATTTTCAGGTGCATGACTTGTTAGATCCCAACGCCAACAAGCAGAGTCTAAAAGTGAGAGAACACAAAGTGCTGGGACCTTACGTGGACGGACTCTCACAGCTGGCTGTCACCTCCTTCCAGGTATATTGTACACTCTATAAGACTTACCGTCTTGAAGCAATCCAGTTTTTGTACTCAGTGTACAGCTGTTTCGGCTTCATAAAGCCATCTTCAGCACATTCTTCTAGAGGTCAATTCATTATAAATATGCGAACATTCTGGTTCTTGTCAACTTGTTACAACACATTTTACACAACATAAAAGATGAAAACATAAACTTTGGTAGGCCTACCCTACTTGTATGTCGCGACATAACCTCACTTTTGACATGTGCTCAATTGCTAGGTCTGTCAGTTGAGCATGTCAAAAGTGAGGTTATGTCGCGACATACAAGTAGGGTAGGCCTACCAAAGTTTATGTTTTCATCTTTTATGTTGTGTAAAATGTGTTGTAACAAGTTGACAATAACCAGAATGTTCGCATATTTATAATGAATTGACCTCTAGAAGAATGTGCTAAAGATGGCTTTATGAAGCCGAAACAGCTGTACAATGAGTACAAAAACTGGATTGCTTCAAGACGGTAAGTCTTATATATTATATTATTTAAAAAGCAAATCCTGGTCAGCCAACCACAAAGTATGTTGTACACTCATTACAATATACTGTACAGCACATTGTACAGGGCAACCCTTTCAACTCCTAGGATAGTTCAGAGATTTAACCATGACTACCAAGTATTTCTTGTTAACAAATTACACCGAGAAAACTATTTTGTTGGTGAAATATTCCTAAACCGTAACATTTTTTTAAACACCAAAAAAGGTACTATGTCTCTGGAGAAACATGGTCCATAATTGCTGCTGGGTTTAGTCATTGTGATATTATCCAGTTTAGATCTTGTGATGATTTATTAAGCATTACAGTGTTTGGTGGTTGTAAATATTCATGCAGGTATCATCTCATTTATATTCAACACTGGGTTGGTCCTATACTGACATATTTTACTCATAATATTACTCTAGGGTGCACTTCGACCATTGTGATGGTAATAGTAATTTTATTTTATTTTCTTTCTATTGTTTTGATTCCTACTTCATTGGATACTGTAATGGTTTCGCAATCAGTCCATTTAAAAGTTTAAAGTTAAAAGGTTTTTTTACCATCTAGACTTTTTTATTAGATATCTCTTGATTTGAACATCAGTATGTAGTGTTAGCTTTGTAACATACATTTTGTTTAATATAATAACTTTTATTAAATTCATCTTAAAATTAAGAATCAGTTAGGGTATTTTTAGAAACTAATCTGAAAATTAAAGGGCTCAATCCTGAAAAATAAACTGTACAAAAATTTATCTATATTGAATTAAACAGAACTTTGTAACAAGTCTAAGATAGACAGAAACAAGGAAAAGGTTTGGACTTGTCGTTAAACATACATAAGTAAATATGTCATTATTATACTACTGTTAAGTTGTGTCAAAATTTATAACATCCAAAGTGTTTACTGTTTCTGACAAAATCCAACAAATTATTAATGCTATGTAACCGTCTCAAATGGGGAGAGAATGATTGTGATAGAGATGAATTGAGAGGAGATCTCTTAGCTTATAGGTTTAACAAGGTGGCCAGAGACCAGAAATTCCGGGATATTTTGAAATAAAACGTGAATGTGTTGTAAATTTTAAAAAATGGGTACCATGCAAGAGTTTCAAAAACCTGATTTTAGTCCGCGGTCGCAGAAAAATCGCATACATCTTACCCTGTCACAGAAAACCAATAACATTGTCCCTGGTCACGGTTAAATTATGAACATCTTTCAAGGTCACAGCAACTCTTAACACTTTTCATCCATCCCGAGGCCGCAATACCAACATATTTAAATTTCCTCTCTAGTTTCAAGTAGAACTAATCATGCAGACAGATTGCATGACCAACTCTAATCGCCTTTTGAGAATATTGATTATGTTTCTTAATGACAAACCCCACTAACACAATGTGGTGTCCAGGACATAGACAATTTGATGACTGAAGGCAACAAGTCACGGACGGTGGCTGCCACCAACATGAACAGTGAGTCATCGCGGTCACACGCTGTGTTCAGCGTGGTGTTGACCCAGACACTGCTGGACCCAGCCAGTGGGGTGGAGGGGGAGAAGGTCAGCCGCATCTCACTGGTGGACCTGGCTGGGAGTGAGAGAGCAGTGAAGACAGGGGCGATCGGTGACCGACTCAAAGAGGGCTCCAACATCAACAAGTAAGTGGTCAAACATTTTCTTGATTAGACTATGTTGAACTAGGTTTAAATGTTTGAGTACAGCAAATCAAAAAAGCTAATCAAAAAAGTTGTCATTTTTATTATTACTTGGAATAAAATCAGTGATCAGACATTTCCTAGATTCTTTATCAGCCAGAGGAGTTTTGCTTAACATAAAACCTTTTGTTAACCTTAGCAACCCCTGTTTTGTATAGGCCTAATATGTAAAATACATAAATTGGTTTGTTTGTAAGGAGAACTATTACACTGTTTAAGTAATCACTATTAATCACCATAAAACTTACTTACATTAACTTACTTACTTTACTTTGCTTTACTTTGTCTAATCATAAACCTAAAAGTTGAATATGGATATAAATATTTAAATCAAAATCTTAAATGATGTCTTTGAGAAAAAGGTTGTTTGTTGTTGCAATGTTGGATATCAAATTAAACTTTGTTTTTCCCATTTTCTAGATCACTGACTACACTGGGACTTGTAATATCTAAGCTGGCAGACCAAAGCACCACTACAAACAAGAACAGAGACAAGTTTGTTCCTTACAGGGATTCTGTTCTCACATGGCTGTTAAAAGTGAGTTTTGTTTATTATATGGTTAGTGTTGTAACAGCTTATAGTCTATTGCTATTTGATGACTTTGCATAAGAGATTTTAGCGAGTTGTAATTTTAATCTGCAATCAAAACCAGAAAAAAGTTGTGTAGCCTTTAGGACTAAAGCTCCTTTCACACTTGCGGTTTACCCCATCCATTGAAATAAGTACGAAAACAGTGTTTAATTGAGAGGTCATATTGTAAAGGATAAACATTGTAACAGCTTTTCTATTTGCACTGGCTAGTGGGCTCCCGCTTGATTATAAACCGTGCAGTGTGAAAGCCTGCGCATAACTACATCCGCCACTGGTGGCGTGCCAACCATCCGGTTCAGTGGCAGTGGACGGCTGCAAGACAGTTTTTTGCTGTCACCGTAAATACTGTGAGAGTGAAAGCTCTCATGCTCTTCTTTACGCTACTAACAAAATTTGCCCGTACGGTTATTAGTTGTATGGAAAAAACCGTATGGTGTGAAAGGAGCATTAATACTTGTTTTTAACATTTAACTTTGAATAGTCTTTCCAATTTAAAGGTTAAGTTTTTGTTATGTTACCTTACTTATGCCTCCACTTCACTTAGGTTGTTGACCTCGCCAACATCTATCCAAAATCTCGGTTTTGCATCCCCTTTATCTTTATTAAAAAGTTTTGATATCTTTTAACACTGTTCACTCTACCCTTTTATCCAACGATTTTGATGGTTAAATAAAATATTGTTAACCGAATAATCCAAATTAAACTACTCTGAGTTAATGTTAATTTCTTCAATGTTTATTTGAAAACAGTACACCTATGGATTATTGGTATGCTGTGTAGTGCATGTATTGCTGTGATAACAGTGTTGTGTTGTAGGACAACTTGGGAGGCAATAGCAAGACTGTAATGGTGGCAACATTGTCTCCAGCAGCAGACAACTACGAGGAGACATTGTCTACTTTGAGGTATTGAATTCTTTTTTTTGCTGTGAATTTTCAGTGAGTTTGAAGTACAAAGTAATAGATGAAATACATACTCGTACAGCACACTGCTGTAGTATAGCACTCAACTGTGAAACCCTTAACATTCCGAATGGGCCATGACTTTAATGTCAACTGTAACAAACTTGAATAGAGTCCTAAATTTCTAGGTTAAACCTTAAAATAAAGCACTTGAATACTAATTATGTTACAACAAAAGCCACATTTGTGGCACTAGATTATAGTTTATTGAAGTAAGATTTCATCTTGCAGACTTCATTTATCAATGTTACCTCAAATGTATTAAGCAGAGGTTAAAATATCCAATATTTTCAATGTTGCAACTCAAGAAATAAGATACCCTTCTATGTTGACTCATATCAACATCACATAAAAGTATGCAAAGATCAATATGATTATGAACAATTCTAAAGTGCATTCTGAAGTTTGAGTGAAGACTCTGAACAGTTAATTACAATAATATCTTTTTTGTTGGGTAATTCTCAACACTTTCCATACTGCTCAAACTGGCGCTCTTGCACTTAATTCAAATAAGCCTGACTGATACAGCACTCTGATTATGTCTCAATTTCAAAACAGTTTTGCTTTATTTTAGATTATTAAGATTATTGAACTTTCCTTATAGCTGATTTCTCTGGAAACCTCCAGTCTTTTTTTTAGTTACTTTTTACTAAGTGTCCTCCACATTCTTTGCCACAGGTATGCAGATAGAGCAAAGCGAATAGTGAACCACGCAGTAGTCAACGAGGACCCCAATGCACGTAAGATCAGAGAACTCAAACAGGAAGTGGAAGCACTCAAGGAGATGTTGAAAATGGCCACTGGTGGAGCAACACCTGTGAGTATAGCTTATAGATTGGTTGAAAAAAACTCTCTTTTGTATCAATGTGATTTATTCTATTTGTTTTAATATTTTATTTTTAAATCTTACAAGTCATACAGTAGAACCTTTTTCTATACAAATGTGAAAAAAAACAAAAAAAACTATACTCTGTATTATGGACCCTGTCTCCTTTCATCTACCGGGGAACTGGCCAGTGTTTTAAGGTCCAGAAACATTTTTTTTTTTAACGGTTGTAGATAAAATCTGTTTATAAGTGTAAACATAATAATAACACAATAATTTTAGTATTAAAATTCAAGAATGGTTTAAACAGGGCAATTTAAAACCCACTGTAGTGCATAAATAGTAGTCACATATTAGAACATAGTAGTCACATATTAGAAGTTTGGTTAATATTTTTTTATACCAAGGAAATCACAATAGTGTAGAGAACAACTTTAGTGTTTTTATTTTGTCACTTAGTGTTAGTATCATTCAATATTGATTTTGATTTAACGTTCATATAGCTCCATCACGATATCCCCTTTTCCTTTTAGAATTAAAATGATTGCACTAACTAAATTACTACATACTTGTGACTTACTATTACTACTATTAGCAAGTTTGATTTTCAGCTAGATTTTGTCAGAGTTCTGGAGAGGTCCTGAACAAGTACTAGCAATCTATTTAGCAAATTCAATAGTTCAGTTACAACCCAGATTATCTTAAGTATATATTGTAATTACGTAAGGCTACCTTCGTACCAATTCCAAAGTTAATAACTTTTTTCTTTTAAACGCATCTCTATTGCCAGGCATCACAACAAATCTCTGTAAGTGATAATTATCTGTTTGTGTTGTGTAAATAACTTAAAATTATTTTTGTTGATGAATATGTTGGAAACACAGTCAAACATTGATATAACAAATTACTTGATATTATCAAAAAACGTTAACAGTAGAAATTTTAGCCTTTTGGTAGGCTTAAAACCATTTCTTAATCATTAATGTTTTTCCATCATGGCAAAGTAATTGATATGTTGAGTGCTAAGTTCTCAAATTTAAAACACCTTTTCTGGTTCCTTGACCATCTCATTTGATAAATTCATTTCCAAGTTTGTGTTTTTAATGTATTTTTTTTCTTTTATAAAGTTTTCTCCCCATTTTTAGTTATTTTTTTAGTGATGGTTGTCAGTGATTAGAGGTTAGTAGATAATAAATGCAAGGATCTTACTGTAACTTCGATGATATAATATTTTCTGTTATCGGGCTATCCAGAAAGTAAATTACGTTTTGGTCTGTATCCGCTAGGAGCGGGGCTAGCACAACCATCTTGGTGTTAGTTTGTTATGGAGCTCAGTCGCCATCTAGCCGTGCTAGTAAGAGGTTTCTGCTGTACTCCGTTGAGTTACTGTGACAGTTCAAATGTCTGTGTTAATTGAAAATGCTGCAAACTGTGAAGTGCATGCAAAAAAAAAAAAAATGATTGGACTCTTTGGTTACAGTTTGGTAACCAAGCTTTTCGGTTATGATCTCGTGCATCAAACTTCGTGAAATTTGTGGAAAACCCAGAGAGAGTTCTGTTATTGTGAACTTTCGAGTTTTACGGTCATCGGCATAGACTTTTTCAACAAGTTCGGCAGTCACAATGCTGGGTCTTCCACTTCGCCCTTCGTCGTGAACGTTAGTTCGGTCATATTTTGCAATTTTATGACCCACTGACAAACTCCACCTTCAGTAAATAATAATGGTTTCCACTTAAACTTCACAAAGTTGCCGATAGATTTCTATCGGTTTACAGTTTTTTGCAGTCAAAAACCTTATAAATGCACTCACTTCACAGTTTGAGGCATTTTCAATTAACACGTAGACATTTTAAACTGTCACAGTAATTCAACGGAGTACAGCAGAAACCTCTAACTAGCACGGCTAGATGCCGACTGAGCTGCATAACGAACTAACTCCAAGATGGTCGCGCTAGGCCCGCCCCTAGCGGATACAGACAAAAATGTAATCTATTTTCTGGATAGCCCTCATACATGTTTTGAGCTGGTATAAATTTAGATTTTCATATGTGTTTTGTTAAAGCTCTCCCTGTAGTTTGTAGTAGTCGGTCCCCTCAGATTTGTTGTATCAAGGTTTGACTGTGATATATCTGTATTAAAATGTAGACTTCATGAGAAATTAAGTTTTCTTAATCCATAAATTCAAATATAACTTTCCCCTTTGTTATAAGATTATAGCACTCTTGCTGTTTAGAGGCTTTTTATGCTTGCATGTTTGATGTTACATTAACTGTTATTAATTATATCTAGCTATTTGTAAAATATTAGTGATTATAGGGTAGAGTAACCTGGGACTATTTAACACAGTGCCAACTTTTTAAAGTTTTACAACAGAAGTCTGCCTTTTACACAACTACTTGTTACAGTACGAGTAGATACTTACCACTAACTTTGTCTAATATAGTTTTGTGGTAGGCTTGCTCGACATGCTAGTAGGTAATGCTTTTGTTTTTAGCTCACCCGGTAAATATGAGACCTCTAAAAATAAAAGTTTGGCTTTCAGGCGCTGTGGCACTAGGGCTAAGTGTTTTTTTTTTTTTTTGAAGATGTGACCAACTTTCTTAATTAGAAACTAACTAATATCCAGCTGTATTTTACAGTTCTTTACGGATCTTCGAGAAAAATTATCTGAAAGTGAAAAGCTAGTAAAAGAAATGTCAACAACGTGGGAAGAGAAACTAATAAAAACTGGTGAGTTAAGAAATATGTCAGTTACATTTAATCTGCAATGAATGTTGTAAGGTTAACTTTGTAGAGAAATGTTCCTTTGCAACAAAAAAGATACAAGATTTCTTGGTTGAGACGTATTTTATGTTCACCTAAGTGTATGCTAGCCTACAAAGTATTGAATAGGCATTTATTGTTTTTCAACGGATAAAAACATTGACTGTTATTATTAACATTAAAATTGCAATAATTTATCAATAGGTCTCTGGATCAGGTAGTAGATTAGACTAATAGTAGACCATCTGTAAAATGAAAGTCAAACAAAGTATGGAATCAGACTTTGAAAACAATATTAATTTCAATACATTAGTATTGAGTGATTTTATTGGTATTTTTAATCAGTGAAAGGAATAAGTGATCCTCAAAAAATCCAAAAAGTTCTACAACTATCTATGCAAGAATAACTCAACAAACCCAGTTTTTACCTTATACTGTAATAATAATGATCAATTATCATAATCATGTTTATTGGCACATAACGTACAGAGTTTACAGGTAAATGTACAGGTGCTTTGTCATCTTCTTATAACATTTAAAATAGTCCTTTCTTAAAACTAAACAACAGTCTTAAACATATTTAGTAATAATAATCAAAACATTTGGTAACATCTAAGAAACATATTGCATAGCCTAACTGAAAATTTATAAAGATAATGTCAAGTTTAAAACTAAATATGGCGTACCTTACACTTAATATGGGATTTTTAACCTGTTAGCCAAGTGTAAAACTACTATTCTTGTAGTTTAGGTTTACCATAATTATTAGTGTAGTTAAAAAGTGATTGAGAAATATTTTTGAATGTCTATATTACAGAGAGGCTACAACATGAAAGACAAGAAGCCCTAGAGAACATGGGCATCAGTGTGCAAGCCTCAGGGATAAAGGTAGAGAAGAACAAATACTACCTTGTCAACCTGAATGCTGACCCCTCACTAAACGAACTGCTGGTCTACTACCTGAAGGATAGGACACTAGTTGGGGCTAAGGTGAGTGTTGAACTTGTGTTGACATTTTGGACTTCTAGTTCACTAACTTACAGCTTCCACTATCAGGTTATTATCCTGAGAATTCCATTCCAGGATAAAATTGTCAAGCATCTATCATCTCTAGCTTTATCATATAGCAACATTTTTAATTAATTCATGGATAGTAGTTGTTTAATTAAATAATATTTATGTTTAAATCATACATTTAACTTTTCTCTTCTGTAAGTAATTCAATAAACCTTCTTAATAAATCTCATGTACAAAAAAAGTATGTTTTTTTACCAGGTGTGAAAAATTGCATCTGATTGAGTTGGCTATAGTCCACTGCCTCACAGTTTAGCTTCTACACCTCACCTATGAATATTAGATTGATCCATTTGTCTCTGAGGTGTGCCACTATTCCACTTCTCCAAGTTCCCTGACTCTTAACAATGCCAAAATTATTTACAATTTACAGTGCTTTTCAGTTTTAAGTTTGAGTGGGAACCCTGTCTCAACAATTGGTACTGAAATCTCAAACAATGTTCTTTGATGTTCCAGGGGTCGTCATCTCCACTAGACATTGTTTTGAATGGTCAAGGTATTCAGCCTGAGCACTGTGTTATAAGCATTGAGGACGGTGGATTATTCTTGGAGCCGCTCAACAATGCTCGCAACTTTGTCAACGGAACACCTGTTCTGGAGAAAACACCACTGCATCACGGAGACAGAATAGTCTGGGGAAACCATCACTTCTTTAGAGTCAACTGTCCAAAGTCTTCTGGTGAGTAAGCAGATGAGGCTGGATGTACAATAGAGTCTTATTTGAACTACAAGGAGCTCTCATTAATGCAGACTGATTGAGTGTAAAGGCCAAGTTGTTCAGAGTGATGAAAGTCCGGATTACTTTGAGTTTTCTGAATGTGAAAAAGGCAGTGCTTTAGGGACTGTCATGACTGTATTTAATGATTATAAAGTGATAGGTTTTAATTGGTTTAAAGCGGACATGAATGCTTGAAATTGTAAACCATCGCAATAGAGATGTTATACGGCCCCCAACGGCTAGTTCTGTTAAAAGTAGTGCAGAAGTTATTCACCAGGCAAATGCTTATGTCCGAGAATAACAATTTTTAACCCACTGTTAATATATGACCACAGATAATTACGCCTACAGCCATAAAATGGCAATTTGATTACATTTCAATGAAGAATGGGAGAGACAGATTTAACTTTGCTCCAAGACAAAAAAAAATAAAAATTTAAAGCCTTTGCAAAGGAAACGCAACATCAACACGCTCATGTATTGTGGGTATTGCAAAGACTTTTTGAAGGCGTTTTTATTTTATACATCTCAAAAATTGGTAAGATCGGTTTATCTGTTTATTCGTTTAGGAATAAACCCTGGTCCTCTCTATACCGGATATAATAGGTTTTTCTGTATCTATATGATATCATTATCACTGAGATCAGAAGTAACACCTTACAGGCTACTACATTTTTCTTTTGTCTCTTATAGACTGTTTTTGTTGTGATACAGTTAGTTGTGGTGTGCATGTTACAGTTTTACATTAATGATGTCTTATTTCCTTTTAATTTTTTCTTATCGAAGATTTTCATAACTATTTAAGTTCCTTTAAGCTTTTTTTATTACTGTAAGCTTTTGTTATTTTGTACACTTTTTAACCTTATTAACCTTTTTAATAAATAATTAGTTATCGTACACTTAGGTTGTTTTAATAGTGCTTTATTGTTATTTATTAACCATTGTGAAACTGTGCAAATGAATAATTCCTGATAGTAATGAGAGCTATAATATTGTCTCCATCTTGTCTCAAATTATGATGAGAAAAAAATCTCGTCCCTAACTTAAATACCAGTCTTGGTCATCCCTACTTTGGCAAAGTCTGTATTAATGGGGTCCATCTTAACAAGGTTGTATTTATTTAAACAACCAATTCAAAGATATGTGAAAAAACATAATTAATCAGTTTTCAAGGAAAAAATCTGTGCATTTAACAAACAACTTGAAGGCAAATATAACAATTAATAGAAAAATAAATATTACAATATAATGATATAAAATTTAACAATATATCAGTGTAACAAAATAAAATATAATAAATAACACTATCATAGGTAATAAATATGACAAATATATTAGGGACCTGTTTGGATAATGTGATTTTGTTCAGACTACTTACTCACTCTTACTTTCATGAACATTTATGCCCAAGAAGGCATTTGACTAACTGTCTCTACTTCCTTCGATCTTGGGTGTTTTTTATTTTTCAGATTAGTAAAAAAATAACTGTAAAAGTGGGGTTAAAAGCTAGATGCAGATTTTTGTGCATCAACAAGCTAATACTTAAAAAATCTTATGGTTAACACCCTACTAATATTATAAATGAGAAAGTTTGGATGTATGGATGTTTATGACAAGTAAACGCGAAAAATACTGGTCGGATTGGGCTGAAATTTGGTATGATGATAGCTCACATTCCCAATTAACATATAGACGCGTTCTTACCTCAAAAGTCCTTTCGGGCTCCGCCCCAGTGGCTCTGGAGTTTCCCATGTTAACCTTATGTGTAATCATATTTAAAATGAATAAAAGAATTTTGTCAGCTGTTTCAACTACACAAGTTGGTTCTATGATATTGAATAACATTAAAAAGTTACAAGGCTTACCAACAGGGTGCAGTACTATTATTTTTTACATTTATGACAACATCTATCCTATAAAGGCCATAAAGGTTAAATTTTGTTTTTAAAAGGCTTATGTGTAACTATTTTATCAACAGATGTAAAGATTAAATTGTTTCAATTTCGTGTTCTCTTCCCATTGCAAAGCACGGGTACAACAGCTAGTCTGTAATAAAAAATAAATCTGTGATTTCAGTAACAACAGCCAGCGAACCTCAAACTCCAGCTCAGACGATAGACTACAACTTTGCCAGGGAAGAGTTGATGCTGAATGAACTCAGTAATGATCCGATACAGACAGCCATTGCCAAGCTGGAGCGACAACATGAGGAGGACAAGCAAGGTGGGTTGTTGCAGTTTACTTGCTTATGATAGTTCAATAGTCTCGATAAGTCGACTCTAACCAGCCGTACAAGATTGATAGCGTGTAAAATAATGAATAAGAAACTTTGAAGTAGAAGTTGAACAATTACATATGAGCACATCAACACAGTAACTAACTATTAGTAAGCAACTCTTGTCTATTGTTACAGTGGCCCTGGAGAAGCAGAGGCTAGAGTATGAGAGACAGTTTCAACACTTGCGTAACATACTCTCCCCCTCCACTCCCTACTCCCCCTACGTGCCCTTTGACCCGTTCCGCCTTGGGAAGATGACACCCTGCACTCCCACTACACAGATGAAGGTGGAGAAATGGGCCAGGGAAAGGTGAGATAACGTGATGCTGTAAAAGTGGTTAACTATAGTTGTACTTTGTTTAGCTACTAAATTCTTAATGAAGTAAAATAATTGAATTTTTGATGGCTCTTAACTGTGATGTAGTAAAACCCTGATAATCCTGCATCTGGTAATTGGCACATTCAATGATTTAGCATGGGTCCAACGAGATTTTATTACACTGTATATTTGTAAAGCCTTTTACGGAGTGTTCAAGCGCACTTAGTTTCAACAGAGATTTTCTTAATTGGCTTAGGACCAGTGTAGTAGGAATATTAGCCTCAAATCTAAAGTTTTTTTTTTTAATTCTCTATTTAAGCAATACTTTAGCTATTGTCACAATAGGCAGTGCTTGGTTACCTTGCCCTACTAAACCGGGAGACATGCCGGATTATCAATGTTGGGTCAATCCATATCAAGTGATCCAATGAGAGTTGCTTGACCATTTTTAATATTTTTTATTTTTTTATATATTGTTCCTTCATGTTTTGGAAGTTCAAAAATTATTTTATAAAATTTTTATCCCTTCCAATTTTTTTGTAGCGGCCATTTTTGTCTTGCAGCGCACGGTGATTTTTGAGTTTGCAGACGTTAACGCTAACGAACATATCTTTTTACCTACTTAAGTTACACAAATGCAACCAAATTCACTTTGTTCATCATATTCCCATCTTTAATTTTGGTTATGATCATAATCTGCCTAATTTGTACCCATATGGGTGAAAAAAATGTTTAAAAACAAGCAACGGAACAAAATAAATTTCACTTTTTGAAGCCTATTTTTTCCATGAAGGGTTTGTAAATTACTGATAATATTTTTTATTCAATTACATTTACTAGTGTACTCTATGTAGCTAGAGTTATAACACTGATATATGTTTCCTTTAATTTTGGCAATTTTTAAAAAATATAGATTTTTCAATTTTTGTAAAGTTTGGAGCTTAACCCTCCGAGTGTCACGCGTCATAAAAATGACGCACAACACACTTTGTGTAGGGTCACGCGTCACTTTTATGACGCACAAACATCGTTTACGGCGAAGGCTCTATGACTGACTGAATCGGATTGAACTGGATCGAGTTAGGTATCGTTCTTTCCGTAATATTCTAAGCTTTCTCCAGAGGTCTGTCTCTAAGCGCTATTCATTTTAGTAGGGGTGTGCAATGCATCGAAATTTCGATTCGATTCGATTCGATGCATTGAATCGCGATTCGATTCAGTGGTGGTCAAAAAACGATTCGATTCATGAGGGAGTCAGTATCCATATACGAAAAACGCCTGCAGAAAGCCAACGCAATACCCGCAATACAGGAGCGCGTTGCTGTTGCGTTTCCTTTACGAAGGCGTTCTTATTTAATACATTCTTTGCATTAAATATAGCTTTAATTGTTTTATATTTTTTTGTTTTGACATTGCAAATGATGAGAGGTTTTGTTTTTTGTCTTGATGTAAGCAGTGTGAAAAATATTTTACTACTGTAAACTTAGCCAAAACAAGATAGGTCACTCCAAAATCATTTTAAAAATAAGTCTGAAAAATTGTTACTTAATACTTAACTAGTAAGATTAATGTTATAGACTGATACATTTGGTATTTTTGTTAGGGGTCTGCCGGTCCCAATTTTTGTTCGGGCAAGAGAAAAAAAAGAATAATTTATTTCCAAAGAAACACTCTTATATTATTATATCTATTATTACAGAGGAATTAAAATGTTCAAATGAGAATTAAAGATTAGTAAGTTGGCTCACGACCTTTAAGAATAAAGACACAACAGAGCAATTGCCGCACTGCCACTAGCCAGAGCTAGTCTAGTCGTCTACTGACAAGATTGACAAGACAAAAGCCGTGATGCAACACTAACAGTGCAAAGAAAACAAAGTCAAAAGAATAGACTATTTATCCAGACATACTAGTTTAATCATTTATTATTTATTCCATACCTAATTTAAAATATATTTTAGTATTTTACATAATAAATTATAAACAAAATAAATATCTGATATAGTGAACAGATCTGTATCTTGGTTAGATGGGGTTAAAAAAATATATTTCTAAGATCCAATACAATATTTACTCACAAATTACAATGAATTAATTTCTTTGAAAATAATCTGTAACAGTTTTGTTTTTTAATAAAGAAATATATTTTTTTGTCTCTACTTCCTTGTTTCATCACTTGCATTTTGTCAGCAATTAATTGAAGCAACTGGGTAGCAACCGGGTGGTGTAAGAGGGGAGGGGTAGGGTCTATGACCTTGAATGCATACATCGTTGCCTGGGCCTGGCTGGGGAGAGTGATTCATTGTTTTTGTTGACATACTACTACCCTTCCTTCAGAGAAAAAGACCCTGCTGTTCCAAAAACATTGAGGGTAGTTTAAAAACATTTACCTGTGTTGCCAAGGGCATTAGAAGTTAACATTTAACTTTCTTATCTCTTGATTTAATATTATTTTAATCTACTATATATTATTTAAGAGTTACTTTTCGGGTACCTAATTAATTGTGATTTTGTTTGGCTTTATTTTATGGATTTTTAATTCTTTTCATTCATTAGCTATCAAAATCAGTTGTTTTAGGATTTTAATCTCTTGCAGTAGGTCTATATTTTTTTATTTCATTTTATTTTATTTACATGCTTCAATACAGTTTAAAGACCATTTACATTGAAGCAGTTCAAGCACTTATAATATTATTGCTTCAGTGGGTTTCTTCTTGTCTTTTCACTTCACTTTTATTTACACTTTCATGCCATGCATTTAATACTAACATAAAAACAAAATTATCAATAACTATAACAACAATGTATATATATTTAAAAAATATTAACAATTATAAATTATATAAATATATAAATACTGAGTAGAAAAATAAATAGAACAATGAAAAAATATATACATTAACATTTACTGATTGATTAATACTGTTTTTAATTTTAATTTGAAATTGTTTTAGGATTAATTAGGCCTATACTACTGTATGACATGATATGCATTTTTTAAAGTCCTTAATAATTATACCATAAACAATGTTTGTGTGTTATTTACTGTTTTTTTAGTTTTATAGTAGGGCCTAAATTAGTTTACACAATATCTTTTCTTCAATGAGTTCTCCACTTGTCATGTTGCTTAGTACACTTTTAGGACTTTTTTAGGTCCTATAAAAAATAATGCCTATGTAAAGCTGTAGGAGGCCTACTAACTGATGCCAATAATAGATAATTCTTTATTTATGATGATGTAACAAATAATGTAAGTGTGAGATTATTATACTAAGGAGGTTAGGAGGCAGGGAATGAATGATACATATTGCATGGTGGAAACATATTATTTTTATTTTCTTCTTGCTTGCAGTCCTGAAGCAGGCCCACAGGCCCTAAACTTGTGATATGTAGGCTATATTTATTTCTTAATGGTCTTTTTATATTAAGTTCCATTCAAATTTGTTGTAATTTAGCTGACGGTACCTATTTAGTTATTTAAACAGTTATTAAAATGAGAATTAATGTCTTGATAAAAAAAATATTTTCTTCTTTCTTGCAATTGAGCCAATTCCAAGTAAAAATTATGAAATAGGCAAGTAAACCAGCTCACAGGTTATTCTAATCCCTATGATTGAAAATAAATATTTTTTCACCTAAAATTCATATGTTAAGTATGAATAGGCCTAATACCACATCAACAAAAATTTGCATTACACAAATGTGGTAAATTTTAATTATTGTTAATCCACTCAATTGACAATTATGAATAGAAAAATACCGTATTGCTTCGAATCGAGTTGCATCGAATCGAATCGAAAATCTTTTGAATCGAATCGTTGCTTCGAATCGAAAATTTTTTGCTGCTTCGCACACCCCTACATTTTAGTTCCGAAAATATTGTAGCAGACAGCTGACGTGCGTGTATTTGTAAACAGCTAGGTTCCCCCGGACCGATGACTGATGTGTTTTATTACGTTTATCATTGTTTTAGTGTTAAAAATCAAAAGTAGTGATATACGTGGTGCATTATAAGAAGATTTAAGTGGTTTTGAAGTGCTGGTTGATGATCCTGAAGAAGTAGGTAGTGATATTGATGTAAATTATCAGCCAGATTCCTAGCTATGGTTAGGCTATGCATTCTTAGCTAAACGCTATGTACTGAAATCCGTTTTTCGCTCATAACTTATTTATTTGATAACTTACCTCGCTATATGATTATATATTTGTATCCTCATTAAATTTAGAACAAAGTGGCTATTTTCAATTATTTATAGGCCTATAATTTATACAATTTCATTGAGCGCGAACTTATTTTTTTTTTGAAAATTTTCGAAATTATATTTTTTTTTACCTAAAAATTTTTTTTTTTTTTAAATGTTCCTTATGTTTTATATATAATATTGAAGCCCATGATTTTCCAAACAAAATGGTATATAGAACATTAGAATTAACATTGTTTTAAGCTTCTCAGATCCGTTTTAATAAAACCTTGCAAAGGGGCCAAAAATAGGTGGACATTAAGGCCTAAACTATGGACACTCGGAGGGTTAATATCTCTGATGGGACATGGGATAAAAATTTGATTTTTTCACAGGATGTTCTTCTGTATATAAGGAAACTACAGTAAAAGATTTATCATTGATATTTTACTGTGGTTAAAGTTATGAATTTTTGGAAACGGTAAAAAAACGCATGTTGTTTAGTGCAGTTTTTACTCGTCTACAGGTTGAATACTGTATTTTCTCACATTAAAAAGCAAAACAATTTACCCGTTTTTAAATTTTAAATAAATTTAGAATTCTTAAGATTTATAACTATATTAGAATTTAAAAATATTTATGAGGCTTCGTTGTGATAGAATAATATTCTGTTTCTGAGAAAAGCAATCATCATTAAAGAAAAGAACAGTTTATGACAGCAGATAAGGAATAGGACTCCACACAACAAAAGACAACTGATAAGACAACTGATAAAGAGCAGTATTATTGTTTTATGACAGCAGATAAGGAATATGACTCCACACAACAAAAGACAACTGATAAGACAACTGATAAAGAGCAGTATTATTGTATTGATTGTTGTTTGATTACTCTGCATGTCTGTATAGGAGACCTTATCTCAAATACATCAGTCAGTGCCATGATTCGTTGCAGTGTGGATGGATTTTACTCAGACTAAAATAATTATATTTTCATGTGTTTTTAAAAGTGTTTTTTAAGCGTTTGTAATGAATCAATTTTGTTCTATTGGTGAAATAGTGGGTGAAGAATGCCACAAAATCGTTTATGGTTTAGTTTTGAAAGATTTGAAGGAGTTGAACAGTTTTAGTGAAACCCAGCAAGAGTTATTGAAAAGAAGAGTAGGTAATCAGGTTACCACTGTTTGTGAGTACCATGAAAAGAAGTTTATTTATAAGTATAATCATATCTATGGTAAATACTGTTCTGACCCATTAAAATTTCACAAGAAACCTATAAATAAAGGTTTGAGGGAGATCAAAATAGAACATTTATCACTAACTAAAATCAAAAATGATCTTAATTTGGTTCCTGGAAAGTCACTCTGCCCAAATTGCTATACAAAAATCTTTATTTTACCATCAGAATCTACAGAAGATAAATTTGCTGAATGTCAGGACGATTACGTTCCTCCAACAGAAGTTTTGGAACATGTGGACATTGCTTGCTCTGTTTTGGGAGTCTCTCCAGCTTCCAAAATACGAAAACTGAGTGATGCCAAGAGACCAATTGCTATAGATTCCAAAGTAAATCGAATATCCAAAACACTTAAAAGAAATTTAGAATTGTATTTTGACAAGGGACCAAATACATCTAATACAGATGAAGTGTTAGAACAGACTGAGGTTTCAAGGGCAGATTATTTGGATTTAATTACTAAATTAAAAGCAAAGTGTTTGATCTCAACCAAAGAAGAAAAAGTAAAAATAATCAGTTTACTACCTGATACCTGGTCACGACAAAAGATTTGTAGCGAATTTAAAGTTTCCGATCGATTGGTTAGATTAACAAGGCAATTAGTAAAAGAAGAAGGAATCTTGCCCGTGCTTGGGAAGAAGAAGGGAGTAGGTGTTTCTCAAGAAACTGTTATAAAGGTACAAGCTTTTTTTGAAAGTGAAGAAAATAGCAGGATGTGTCCTGGAAAAAAAGATTGTACTAACATAGTTGTAGAAGGAAAGAAAATAACAAAACAAAAGCGTTTAGTTTTATCAAACCTTAACGAACTATTTGTTGCTTTTAAAGCTGCTCATCCCGAATGTAAAATAGGTCGATCTAAATTTAGTGAATTACGACCTAAATGGTGCATTTTGGCAGGGGCGTCCGGCACACACTCTGTGTGTGTCTGTGTTTACCACCAAAATGTAAAATTAATGATCGATGGTGCAAGATTAAACGTTGACTACAAAGATTTACTGGAGCTCCTAGTATGTGATATTAACAGTTATGACTGTATGTTAAGTTTGTGTGATAAGTGCCCAGGACAACAAAGTATAATCAATATTTTTCATGAATCTGAAGAGGACATGCCAGATCATATTCAGTTCAAACAATGGGTGACAACGGACCGTGCTGAAATGATAACAATTTTGAAACCACAGGAAGAGTATTTTGAATAATTAACTGAGAAACTTGAAAACCTGAAAAGCCACCACTATATTTCCAAAATACAAAGCAAATTCTTAAAAGAAAAGAAAGAGAATCTTTTGGAAACTGAATGTTTAATACTGGCAGATTTCGCCGAGAACTTCACATTTTTGGTCCAAGATGAAATTCAGGGGTACCACTGGGTTAATGATCAGGCGACTGTACATCCGTTCGTGGTTTACTTCAAAGATGAAGATGGTAAGATTAAAAGTCACTCGATTTGCATTTTAAGTGACTATTTAGAGCATAGCACACAAGTTGTACATGTTTTTCAATCATATGTAATTAATTTCATTAAAGAAAACTTGCCTAGAGTTGAAAAGGTCATTTACTTTTCTGACGGAAGTGGTTCCCAATATAAAAATAAGAAAAACTTTTCAAATCTCTGCAACCACAAAAGGGACTTTGAATTAGATGCTGAGTGGCACTTTTTTGCCTCCTACCATGGCAAAAATGCATGCGATGGAATTGGGGGAACAACAACACGTGAAGTTAGTAAGGCCAGTTTACAAAGAACCTCAACATATCAGATTCTAAAGCTGGGTTTTCCTAGACGCGGAGTCGGCCAGCGGAGAGCGGACAACGGAGAGCGGAATTGAAATTAACATGGCATTCCGCTCCGCTGCTAGGAAAACAGTAACATTAAATTACCTAAGACAAGCTGAGTCCGCTCTCCGTTGTCCGCTCTCCGCTGGCCGACTCCGCGTCTAGGAAAACCCAGCTTTAGTGTAGAGAAGATGTACGAATTTTGCAAACAGAATATCAAAGGGCAAAGGGATAAACTATTTTCTTGTCCGGAAAGAAGAAATTCTGACACACATCGAAGAACTTAAAACCAGATTTGAAAACTGTATACAAGTCAAGGGAACGAGGGGTTATCATAAATTTTATGGGGTTTCAGAGAACACAATAAGGTGCTTTATAACATCAAAAAGTGACATTTACGAAGACCATTGCATATGCAAAATTGTACCATTGACCCTAGAAACTGACGACTTGGTGGCTTGTGTATACGATGGGCAGTGGTGGTTGGCACAAATTGAACAATTAAGTTTGGAAAATAGTGATGTGTATGTGCACTTTTACCATCCTGCTGGACCAAGAACAACTTTTAGAAAGTCTGATAGTGACAAAGTTTGGGTACCTATTAACAACATTTTAAGAAAACTGTCATTTCAAGAACTCAAAACGGCAACTGGAAGAGTATATAATATATCTCAAAAACTGTCTGATGAAATAAGCATTCTTCTTAATGCTCATTCCAACTAGGAAAACATGAAATAAATGTAAGTCCTTTTAATTTTTTAATGATTAGTTTGTTGTAACGCATAACACATAATAAAATTGTTGTTCTATTTTTTGTGGGTTTCTTTACATTTTAAAACCAAATATTTAGCCTAATTATATAATATTAGCCAGCAATATGTAAGCCCTACTTGTAGGCCTACAGTTAAAAACATTCAATTACTGAAGCACAATACAATTATGAATCTTTAAAGGCCCTTAATTGAATAGTTTTTACCATAGTATTTATATGATTAATACCGTCACTGAAAGGGGCATTTATACGATTTAAAATTTTTTTTTTAATAAAATTTCTAATAATATTTGTTATGTTTATAATATTATAGTTAAAGGGGTAAAGTATTTGTTATATATTTAAAAGTGGTAAATTGTCTGCCCTTTGAAGCAATAAAGGTCAGTATTTAACCTGTAGACAAGTCGCTACTACACTAAACACTATGCAATTTCTTGCCGTATCCAAAAATTCATAACTTTTACCACAGTCAAATATCAATGATAAATCTTTTACTGTAGTTTCCTCATATACAGAAGAACATCCTGTGAAAAAATCAAATTTTTATCCCATGTCCCATCAGAGATATTAAGCTCCAAACTTTACGAAAATTGAAAAATCGATATTTTCAAAAAATTGCCAAAATTAAAGGACACACATATCAGTGTTATTACTCTAGCTACATGGAGTACACTAGTATATGTAATTGAATAAAAAATATTATCAGTAATTTACAAACCCTTCATGGAAAAAATAGGCTTCAAAAAGTAAAATTTATTTCGTTCCGTTGCTTGTTTTTAAACATTTTTTTCACCCATATGGGTACAAATTAGGCAGATTATGATCATAACCAAAATTAAAGATGGGAATATGATGAACAAAGTGAATTTGGTTGCATTTGTGTAACTTAAGTAGGTAAAAAGATATGTTCGTTTACATTAACGTCTGCAAACTCAAAAATCACCGTGCGCTGCAAGACAAAAATGGCCGCTAAATAAATTGGAAGGGATAAAAATTTTATTAAATCATTTTTGAACTTCCAAAACATAAGGGAACAATATATAAAAAAAATTAAAAAATTAAAAATGGTCCAGCAACCAAATTATTTTTTATTGGATCACTTGATATGGATTGACCCTGTTCTGTGTTACAATTCTATGAATACTTCAAAAAAATCCCTGTTTTCTTACCTTCATTCTCTTTTAAGCCTATAAACTATGTCAGGAAAGCATAACTACATTAATTTATTACTTTTCAAGATGTAAAATGGATCTCAAGTACAAATTTGAAATACTACATGTTGAATATAATGTGAAGCTTAGTGTTAGCTAAATGGGAGATATAAAAATAACATTGGCCTGTTTTGAGCTGAAGATTAATATGTAGTTTTACATGCATTTTTCATGCTCTCATACCTTGGTGTTATTTTATCTATTCCAACACAAGAGCTCTAATTAGGATAAAAACAAGCCCTCTGAACTATTTTATACTATTGAGGTTTTCCTATAAATATATTTCAGAGATGAGATGTTCAAGAGAAGCTTGAAGGAGTTGAAGAAGGACATAGTGAGAGCGAACGTGCTTGTGAAGGAAGCCAACTTCCTTGCAGAGGAGCTTGGGAAACAAACCAAGTACAGTGTCACACTGCAGATACCTCCATCAAACCTGAGTCCTAACAGGAGGGTGAGTTGGTCCATGTAGCCAGTGCTTAGTTTGTCAGTCACTTGGGTCTTAAGATATTTGCCTTGAAAAATCCTAACCATTGTTTTTATTAATACATTGAGGAAACTACCAAATCTTTAGGCATATCCTTTAGCGTGATTTGTCTTAGGCGTAGATAAAAAAAGTTTACATTGAACACATACATAAAATACCATACTGAGCATACTAATATTATAAATGTGAAAGTTTGTGTGTTTGTTTGTTTGAAGTTCAATCATATTCTTATCTCAAAAACCCTTTCGGGCTCTGCCCCAGTGGCTCTGTAGTTTCTCATGTTAACCTTATAAGTCTCATATATATTAAAACGTTATGGTTTTTTTATTTCATGATTTTGAATCAACCACTTGACAGATTTTCATGATTTTTGTGTTGAAAGAAAGATAATTTTGAAAACTAAGGAATGTCGAAGCAAGAATTTTAGTTTGGGGTTTCAGTTTTTTAGATATTAAGTTTTAATTTTTGTAAAGTCTAGTATATTTACACTTTACTATTTTACACTCCAATCAGAATAGACGAACGAGCCTTATAAATAATCACAAAGAAGAAAAAAAACAATAAAAAAACTGTCCATCACGTCTTATATCTGGGTATAGACGCCAGTATGGTAAGGCTGGCAGCGGCTACATAAGCTCTAATAAATATTTTTCAAATGTGTACTACACATCTGAAAATGTACAAAAATCTGTTAAAAGTTATTTATAATTAAGTACGTATGGTATGTTGCAGAGAGGAGCGTTTGTCAGTGAGCCGGCTATCCTTGTGAAGCGTACAAGTCATGGTAACCAGGTGTGGTCCATGGAGAAACTGGAGAACAAACTGATAGACATGAGGGAGATGTACGATGACTACAAGGAGAATGGAATAGACATGACCCCGGTATGTCTCCAGTATAACATCATTTGAATGACAAAGGGGGATTATTTAACACGTTCAGAACGGATCTATTGCCATTGCTGGGGAATGTTATAATTGTTGCTAGCCTATAGCTTAGAACGTGAGCTTTATTTTGGTGTAGGTTGGTACTAAAATTTCCCGTTAAATTCCGTCTGACAATGCTTTTGTCCCAGATTCGAGCATTTTCTCTCTTCGAGCCACATTACAAAGACACTGGCTACGGATCCAGGCAGTGCTGCTACCTTTGGGTGTTTCAGTGAACTACGTCCACTCTCGGGCTAACGCAGCACAATCACCGCTGCTCTTTTGTTATTCGTCAGACTGAAATATTTGAATGCCAATTGCGTTTCCTGATTCTATGGCGCACCGGGGCTTCGCCCGGGCCTCACCGCCATTGGCGAGCGCCTGTGCATCTCCCTAATCTCCTAGTCCTCAAAACAAGTCATTCACTATAGTTCCCCCAAGCTTGTGTGTTCTTATGTGACTAGTTTTTTGTGTAGTTTGTGATTTCAGTGCAACTCCTGGTTCATACCGTAACCACAATCAAGGCATTCACAATCTTCATAGCAAATTTCTTTTTGAATGCTATTGTTCGGTTTATTTGATAAGAAGTAGAACTGAATGTAAAACCTTTATACAACAATGTAGTATTTGGAATATTACATTTCAGTTTTATTCGCCAAAAGTCTATTGGTTGGGTTCCAAATCTCATGTGATTTTCTGTTCCAGGTGGATAACCCAGCTAAAGTTATTGATCCGTTCTTTGAAACACAAGAGAATCACAATTTGATTGGTGTGGCTAACGTGTTCTTAGAATGTTTGTTTCATGACGTGTCGCTCGACTATCACACACCAATCATCAGCCAACAGGTAATGTATATTCATGGCTTTCCTTCAAGTTTGCTAACAATTATTTTTTTTGAAGATATAATTTAGTTTTGTATCAGAAATTCATTAAAAAAATTACTCACAAAAGAAACTCTTACAACCTGGCAAAAATGTCAAGAATAATGACAAAGGGTAAAGCAGTGTGGGATACGCTAACTATTAATGCTAATGTAATCCATATTTTCTAGCCACTGAGCTGGTTCTATAATTAAATTGAAATATTACCTTCGTCAGCCAGCTCCTGTATTGTAACAAATGTTACGGCTGTTTCAGCATCACTGTGCCATCATCAGACTGTTCAGCCAAAAGGCGTCGTTATAACACAAAAACATTTTCACACAAAACACACACATAGTCAAAACGGGTTAAAAAACAGCGGGTTTTTAACCCATTTTGACTATGTGTGTGTTTCAGTAATGGTTGACAGTCTTATGTTTTCATGCCGGTAGGTTGCAGTAACCCTATCGTATTGGAGCATTGTAAAGTAGGCAGCTGAGCGGAGTAGTTTTAATAATGACACAAAATTATCGTCCTTGAAAATGGTCGTGTAGACTTAGAGTTAAGGAAGATGTTATAATTAGCTGAAGTTGTCGCTGTGATTTTATAATACAATGCATGAAATGTTGGGATGAAATAAAACAACACAATACCATGATTTATTTGGTTGAAATTACAGATTATTTCTAGGTTTGTTTCTTATTGGAATGTTCGAATATACTCATTAAGATCAAGTCGGGCTCGAATTACTAAAGTATTCTTTCAACTATTCGATCTTTCGAATATTCGCACACACCTATTTTATGTTCTCCTAACCAATAACTACACTCCGCTGCAAAATGATAACCAATAAACCGAACCAAAACCGGCTTTTTATGTCAATTCTTGGTTTTGGTTTTTTTGCTAAAAAACGGTAAAACCAATAACCGACTTTAATAACTGACCCATACCTAGTAATGTTTCAATTTAGTTAATGCTTATAATACTTAAATCCCGATAAAAACTTGTAAACTTCATTTAGAATACTTGAAAATAACCTTATCTAGAGCCTAAGGACTAAGAGCCCCTGGTTCCCCCTAGTTAGGGTTCCTGTCTCCCAAACACCGCACTACTGCATCTTACAAACGGATCCCCATATACAATAAGCTGACCTACAGCCTCTACAAATTCAAATGTTTTAACGCAACATTGCCTTACACTTCCTGTCTACAACATAACACCGCCTTCCCTTTAATTACAGTGACACGTGTTTGATGTCTGACTGTATGTTGCAGGGAGAAGTCGCTGGGAGACTACAGGTAGAGTTGATGAGGATAGCTGGTCAGTTCCCCCAAGATCACATCTGTGAGTCAGTGTCAGAGACCTCCACAGACAGTGGGAACATTGAGGATGAACCTGCCACAGATAACCAAGTCACTGTTAGGGTGAGTCATTCACCCATAAAGGCCTTGCCAATTCTCCATTGTACACTTTGTTCTTTCATCACTTAAAATCTCCATGTCTTTCAGCTCTTAATCACTCCACTTTTTCAATGTCGGTACCAGTACCGGTTCCTAACCAAAATCAATTCTCGGTTCTGACTTCCGGTACCATTGGTCCCTCATTTTAAATTAGGCTACTTAATTGTTTTATTTTTAAAACAAAATAAACCCATTTCAATTTTTAAAACTGTATATTTTTCATTAGTGTAGGTTCGCTATATTAAGGGATTACGAAAATTAAACTTAAGCCTAAGTTAAGCCTTTTTGCACAAAAAACACTTAAACAACCAACCAAACACCTTCAAATCAAATTAATATATACCATTCCAATGGTGTTAAATGTAGGCCTATGTTGAAATGTTTGCTAAACCAATAAATTTAACATATGCTACTAAACTTGGAAAGATAAGTAGCTCTGGAAATTTGTTAAACTAAGTTAGCTGCCTGTTAAGTTCTAGCTAAATATTTAGAAGGAAGTCATTTCGAGTCATTTTGTACCTGCATTAAGTTAATTTTAGGCTACAGAATTAAGAAAATTTTAGAAAAATTCCAAGGAAAGTTTTTACTACTATTGAGAGAAAAGACATTTTCATTTTATCGTCAAAGACATTTTAAAGAAGATTGTTCACTGTCTCTTGTGCTATAAGCTTTCATACTCTTACATTTCTGTAATGTATGTTACTACATAATGTAGGGGTGACATTGTTTGTTTAGTTGTTTCGTTCTATATATTTAAGTTTAATTTTATATTTACATCTACTTTAATTTGCTTCATGACAATTTGTAAAATGCAATCTGACTTATCCTATTGTACTTTATTCTATTGTACCGAACGGAAATAAACATATTTGATTTGATTTGATTTGACATGATTATAATTCAAACGCAATGTGTTGTTCCCAGGTGAAGATCAAACAGGCAACAGGACTGCCTCTGTCTCTCTCCCACTTTGTGTTCTGTCAGTACACATTCTGGAGTCACGGAGAGTCTATTGTGGTTCCTCCGGTGGTCAACCCGGAGCAGAGCATTGACAAGGACTCCCTGTCCTTCCAGTTTGAGCACACCCGCGACTTCACTGTCCCCATCAACGAGGAGTTCCTGGAACATTGCACAGGTCGGGTGTCACATGTGAATTAGTAGACAATTGTGAAACATTGTAGCCTACAAGAAAGGAAAGATTCAACTTTCACTAATAAGCTTGTGCATTGGCATCTGGAAGATCAAGGATCTAGTGGTGGTAAAAGCCATGAAAATCAGATCCAAGTACAACTTTTATGAAATTAAATCTAGAATAAACCAAGAGATTCATTCTAAACTATTTCATTTGAAATTATTATCATTATTACCAGTTGCTATATGCCACATAGGTGCGCATTTTAACCCAAATTAGAGTGAAGGATGAGTGTAGAATGGAGTAAGATGATCTGTGTAGCTTTGTAACTGACTAAGATCAGCTGTTTCATTCGATTAATGCTATAAAATCTATGATTGATTTTAAAACTATTAAAAACAGAAAACCTCCTATCGTCTCGCAAGATTACTACAATATCTACCTGCATCTTTTGTTATCATAATAAATCGCTGGATTCCCTGCCCATAAAATTCCTGAATTATTATTATTTCAAATACTCCTAAACAATCACAATAATTTCAAGAACAATTTTGAATTATCAGAACTTGAACATCTCTATTCTGATTCCGTTGCGTTTACTTTTAAGTCAAACACACTCAGGTGATTGTGCTGGAAAATGGTGTTTATAACAAAAACACAACATTTAGGATTCAACTCTCGAAATTAGAGATGGACGAGACTGGATTTTAAGTTTGAGATGAAATTCATTTTTCTCATCATTATTTGAGAGGAGGTTATAAATCTCATTACTATCAGAAATTATTCGGTTTGCAGAGTTTCACAATCGTCTTCACACAGCTAAAAAACGCCTTCAGAAAGTCTGCAATACAGGAGTGCGTTGATGTTGCATTTCCTATGTGAAGGCGTTCTTATAATTTTTTGTATTAATAATCATGTCTTGAAAAAATCTCGGAGCAAAGCCAATCTTTCTCAATCTAACTAGATTAATTAGTTTCAAACATTTTTTTTTTAATTTGTGTCACGTCCATCCCTGCTCAAAATCAAACGATCAAAGTTTGGAATTTGTATCCCAAATTGCAAACTAAATTTTGAGCAAAACGTCTACCATGTAAGGTATATTGCAGTACATGTGTGACATATTGTTGTAGAGGGTGCATTATCGGTGGAGGTGTGGGGACATCGCAGTGCTGGCTTTACAAGTATATTGCAGTACATGTGTGACATATTGTTGTAGAGGGTGCATTATCGGTGGAGGTGTGGGGACATCGCAGTGCTGGCTTTACAAGTATATTGCAGTACATGTGTGACATATTGTTGTAGAGGGTGCATTATCGGTGGAGGTGTGGGGACATCGCAGTGCTGGCTTTACAAGTATATTGCAGTACATGTGTGACATATTGTTGTAGAGGGTGCATTATCGGTGGAGGTGTGGGGACATCGCAGTGCTGGCTTTACAAGAACAAAGCCAGAGTGGGAGGTGGAGCAACAACAACTAGCAAAGGCTCGCTCACTCACTGACAGGTAGTTATGTGACCATGGATTCAAAAAAATAAAATGTGTTAGAATTAAGTTAGCTCTAAATGTGTTTTATGTTCTTGTATCTTATGAAGAAAGAGATTGGTAGCTTGGTATTGGATTAACCTAGTTTTAAATCCTGAGTTTTCCAACCACCATGGGACCTTAATCCTGTCTATGGATCTTATAAAGCGAAGCAAGGGGCAGTACAGTACAAGAATAAACTGTTGTAATTAACTGTAGGTAGCAGCCATGGGACGCAAATACAACACGCTGTCTTGGTGTCACAATATTTTGCGCTTCTGACTGCACTGTCAATTATTTTCAATCAATCAATCAATCAATAAAATCTTTATTCAAAACGTACAGATACATCGTACATGAATGCGTCATTATGTTATTTTAAATAACATAAAGGAATATATTACATAAAGTTAAAAGATTATTATAATAGCAGTTTTTAGATAAAATAATACATTGCTTAAAGTTAGATAAAATAAATACATTACTTAAAGTTAAAAAAATCATCCAGACTATAAAAAGAATTTCCTATTAATAATTGTTTCAGTTTCTTTTTAAATTTAATTGTGCATTGCTTCCTTATGCTATCTGGGAGTTGATGGATAAACTTAATGCCAATATACTGAGGACTTTGCTTATATTTTTCTTTTTTATGATTTTTAATTGTGAAATTTTGTTTGTATCTAGTATTGTAATTGTGGATATCCTGTTGTCGCTCTAATTTTGATTCATTATTTTTTACATAAAGAATTGTTTTATAGATATATAAACACGAAACTGTTAACATTTCCAAATCTTTGAAATATTTTCTTAAAGAATTTTTGCTATAGGTTCTTTCTAAATTTAGGATGTGTCTAATAGCTTCCGTTTGTAATAATAAAATTCTTTTTAAATTTTGATTACTCGTACCCCTATAAATTTCAATGCCATAAGTTATATGGGAGTGAATGTGGGCATAGTAAACTGTTTTAAGGGTTTGTACATTGCAAAAAGGTTGAAGTCTATTAATTATAAAGATTCCAGAACTTATTTCTTACAAACATGAAATTAAGTCTCAGTATGTTAAATACTATAAATCTTTTAACAACTTCTTATTCCACCTCAAACCAAAGGGAAAGAGCAAATAGAGGATAACCAGCTTTAGCATAAAGCGCTAATTAGTCTTAATGTAATCTTAATTTTGTGCACTTCAATACAAAGGTACAGATATTAGGACAGGGGATGCGATGCCATCAAACACGTTACTATTTGCTGGTTTACAATATTATGCTACTTTACCATTACTGACAAAGTGCTGGTATCAAAAGAATCTCTTAACAGGTTCTGTTGATGAATAGAAACTAAGGGTATTGTTTGAGAACCAAGTGTCTCAAAACAATCTGAACAGAATGCATATACTGTATAATAATGTTTTTTTGTTTGTGATAAAAGGTGGAGTGAGCTGACAAGGAAGATAGAGTTGTGGGTGGAGATACAGGAGTTGACAGAGCTGGGGGAGTATGCTGCTGTGGAGGTGATACAGAGGAACGATGTCTTGACTGGAGGAGTGTACCAGCTTAGACAGGGACAGCAGCGAAGGATACAGGTACCAAATAATTACCTTAGATGTTGTACATATGTATCTGTTTGTGACTGTTTCTGTATTGTCTTACTCCGGTTTTGATTAGGGTCAGAAGAAAACGCTTTTTTAATCCAGGACTAAAATTTTTACTTTGAGTCAGCCCGAAATACACGATTGCATTATTCCATACTGTAATATCCCCCCAATTGTGGTCAATTCATAAACATCTTCTGCAGTCACAGCAAAATCGTGAACATCTTCAGCAGTGACGGCCAAATCTAGGACCTCTTCTACTGTCTTGGCAAAATCATAACATATTCTTTATACCGGATACGGACAATACGGTGATAGAAGATTTTCTGTGGTTTCTTCAAAATCATGAAGATCTTCCAAGGTCACAGCAAAATCAAGAAAATATACTGTGATGATTGTCAAAAGATGAGCGTCTTCCCCAGTTATCTCCCGGGGTCATAGCAACATTGTTAACGTCTCTCACAACCGTCTAAACCGAGAACATGCAATCGCAGCAAGATGGTCAATTTTCAATCACACATCTATGCAGATGCTTTTTGTGATCACAAAAATAAAAGCCTGTTTTGACTTGACCAAACCTGAGTTTAGCCCAAAAAATTATTTGGTTGAGCTCAACTCGCAGACTCCTTTTTTTTTAAAGTACATCTTAACATAAGTTCCAAAAGAGGAGAAGCGCATATAGAAACAAAATCCACCTACAGTGTTTATATCTTGACTTAATTAATACTTGACTTGTCTTCAGGTGAGGGTGAAGCCAGTTCAACAGTCAGGCACTTTGCCCATCATCTGTCACAGTATTGTCAGCATTGCTGTAGGAAGTGTCATTAAGAGGTAAGTAACTAGTAGTTAGTTTATAATACTAAAAGTTTTGGGCATAGTGGTTAGTCACAGCCATCAAACACTTTTTTACTCTATTCAATTACACAACTGAATTTTAGGCCAGGTCCAAATTCACCAACATTTTTGGGGTCGTTTCTAATGTCCAAATTCACCAACTTTCTACCTGGAGCAGGTACGATATTTCTCCTGGCGGGTGGGGAAGGAATTCCCTCCGAATAGTTTGCCATCGCCTGCTCCGTCTCGTCTCGGCGAGAGTGTACTGTAACCTAACCTAACCTAACCTAAAGCTGCCTGAAACAATCACAGCTTAAACAGTACTATTAGGGCTAAGCAGTACACTCTCGCCGAGACGAGACGGAGCAGGCGAGGGCAAACTATTCAGAGGGAATTCCTTCCCCGCCCGCCGGGAGAAATATCGTACCTGCTCGAGGTAGAAAGTTGGTGAATTTGGACATTAGAAACGACCCCAAAAATGTTGGTGAATTTGAACGTAGCCGAATTTTAAAACTCTTTGACTCAAGAATTTATATAGAGAATCAACCAATTTGTTTTCAAAGGCTATCCGATTCAGTGTTGGACCAACATTATTGTTGTTTGAAGAGAAGCCAAAAATTTAAAAAAATATTTGCCGACTCAAAAGAAAAGAAATGAGTATAACCTAATGTGATGTGTGATTGTTGTTTAGGTCAAGGCTACAGAAGGCTCTAGACTCCTACCAGGAGGAAGATCTGGCAGTGTTGAGAGAGAAGTGGAGTGATGCTCTGATGAGGCGGAGACAGTACCTGGACCAACAGATCAACCGGATCATCAACAAACAAGGTGGATACAACTGATTGATTGAGATATAATTTGGCATATTCTTAATTTTATTTTAATATAAATCAACAGTTTAACTTTTTTCTTGATAATAAATTAAAATTGTGATTCTTTACAATAACTAGCCAGTTTTTTTTAAATTTTCAATTATCAATTTTTTAAGATGGGGACGCCACTATGTGCGTATTTTAACCCAAATATGAGTGAAGGATGAGTGTAGGATGAGTGGCGCGATCTTGTAGTCTTGTTAGTGACTAAGGCCGACATGTTCCTTAGACACAGCTGTTAATTAATAGCCCATACAGCTAATGGCAACTAAGGGACCTACAGTTTATAGTGGAATCCGAACCACATTTTTCCTTGTAATTTACGAATTGGTCTAATTATCAGGATAGCACTGCGGATAGTCGTAGTACTCACTAGTGCGGACGTTAATCCACACCAGGGAGCATCGCATCCACAGTGCATTCCTATAAATATCCACAATTCGTGACCTCCCAGTAGCTGGATTACAGGACGACGCCACCCGTCCCAGTCGTTATTCTCTAAAAAGTTGTAGGGGTGTGCAATGCATCAAAATTCTGATTTTATTCTATTTGATTCAATGCATCGAATCGCTATTGGATTCAGTGGTGGCCAAAAGCCGATTTGATTCATGAGGAATCAGTATCCATATACGAAAAACGCTTGCAGAAAGTCAATGCAATACCTGCTTTGATTTTTGAAGGCGTTCTTATTTAATTATTCTTTGCATATAAATATTGCTTAAATTGTGTTATAAGTTTTTGTTTTGACATTGCAAATGACAAGTTTTGTTAAGTATAAGCAGTGTGAGACATGTTTTAATACTGTTAACATAGCCAAACAAGTCACTCCAACTAGTAAGACTGATGTTTTGGACTGATGAATTTGGTATTTTTGTAGGTCTGAAGCTACGTATACCTTGTAGTTTGTAGGTCTGATTCTATCCTCTAATTTTATCAATGTAAACCAATTGAAAGTTTCAGTATATAAATCTTACAAATGTTTTTAAATGTTTAGGCTACACCAAAACATATCTGTATTTTTAATTCAATGTTATAAAATAGGTAACATGCTTATCAATGTGATTCTGCAAGAAAACATTATGAAATAAATAGGCAATTAAAACAGCTCACTGACATTTCCAGCAATCCAGGTTCTTCTGATGTATGATTGAAAATAAATATTTTTCACCTAAAATTCATATATACCACACACGTATGAATAGGCTTAATAGCACATCAATAAAAATTTGCATTACATAAATATGGTAAATTTTAATTTTTGGTTGTTTCACTCCATTGACAAGTATGAATAGAATAATGCCATTGCTTCGAATCGATTTGCATTGATTCAAATTGAAAATCTTTTTAATCAAATCGTCGCTTTGAATTGAAATTTTATTTCTGCTTCGCACACCTGTAAACAAATGTATTCCGATTGATATATTGTTTTTCATCAATTAAGGCGGAAATTAGGCTTTTTTATCATCATGATAATCAATTTAGCAGTTCTAGCCTCCTGGGTTTACCGAAAAACGTCTTCCATCCTTGACTTTCCTACCCATTTCTCTCACTTACCAAAATTTTCCCACTGTTTTCAGTATTCCATGATCTTCCCTAATCTGACAGAATCCCGGTTCCATAATTCTAGGATTAACAAGTTATGGTACCCATGTTTATGCACACTAAGTATGGTCAGCATTTTCTAAAGCTCTTAATGTGGAGAGCAAAGTATAGTGGTAGATTGTACAATAAAAGGTTAAATTACCTGTGTCCGCCAGTCGATCCTTGTGCTGTGTCCTATTACAGGATATGCATTTCGGCAGAATAAATTGCCATCATCAGTCCTAATATAAGATCTTGATCTTCCCCGTAGGGTGCGTCTTGAAGTTTTGGAACACGTACACGAACTTAACACTTATATACATTACGAATAAAAGACAAATACACTGTAGGCCTACTTTTATTTTATTTACTACGGACATGTAGACGCGCGTCGGTCGTGTAGTAAATAATGTCCGTAGTAAATAAAATAAAAGTAGGCCTACAGTGTATTTGTCTTTTATTCGTAATGTATATAAGTGTTAAGTTCGTGTACGTGTTCCAAAACTTCAAGACGCACCCTACGGGGAAGATCAAGATCTTATATTAGGACTGATGATGGCAATTTATTCTGCCGAAATGCATATCCTGTAATAGGACACAGCACAAGGATCGACTGGCGGACACAGGTAATTTAACCTTTTATTGTATGTCTTACCGATCCGGAACAACAACAACATAAAATGAAGTGGTAGATTGTGTGGCTTCCTGGGCTGGAGCTTAACTTGAGCTTGATGTGAAAAAGGATAACAAAACTTTTTAAGAATTGTAAAATATATTATTTGTTTCAGACAAGACAGAGACAGATCAGGAGAGAGAGCAGAGTCTGGTAGATCAATGGGTAAGCCTGACTGAGGAGAGAAACGCAGTGTTGGTGCCTGCCCCAGGCTCGGGGATACCAGGGGCCCCTGCGGACTGGGCCCCACCACCTGGAATGGAACCTCACATACCTGTGCTGTTTCTCGACCTCAACAGTATGTCTGCACAAGTAACTTACCCGAGTACTGTAGATAGCAACAGAAAGAAACTCAAGTTAATTGAGTTTGGAATTTTTAAGTTGAAACTCTTTTTTGTGGGAGTTATTTGTCTATCCATTCAAATTATGCAAATTTAGAATTTTTTTAATGGGTCCGAGTTAAGCTAACCTGAGAAAGTCGAGGGACTAATTATTGATACGGTACACAATAAAAGGTAAAAAATGTAACAGTGATATTTCGTCCTAAAATAGTACTTTTTCATAAATTAGATTGAAGAGATAAGTATATATTATGCAAATGTACAACTAAACAAACATTGAAAATTATAATATCATCCACATTTGAGGTTAGAGAGTTTCTAATTTCCTAACATTTTTGATTTGACAAATGTTGTTGTAGCTGACGAGTTGTCCAGCCAGACAGGTCAGTGGTCAGACATGGATCAGCTGCCTGTGGCCGGCCTCAACTCTATATTGTCCAAGGAGCATGGTAACAAGTTCTACAACCTGCCTATCATCAAACACATGGAAACTGACGTGGGAGCCATGGCTGCCTGGGACAGTTCCGTCCACGACAGCGACTACCTCAACAGAGTCACTGAAAGTGAGTACTAAAACTAAGCCCTTTCAGCCCTAAGCATAACTCCACAAAAACAACTGAAAGCTATACCTGATATGTGCTATACCTGGGAGTCAAATTAGAACTACTGCGCTTGGGCCAAGGCAACAATAAATAATAAACAGGCCATTAATGCTCCTCTGGCATGACGTCATCATAGGCGATGGCAATGTTTAATGTTTGCCATTTGTGATCAGCTACTTGTTTTAATCTTTTCTTGGAAAACAAAAATATAATTTAAAAATAACGTCATTGCCGTCACCTATGATGATGTCATACCAGAGGAGCATTACGGCCTGTTTATTTAGTGTTTATTGGGCTTTAGGTTGTCCAGTGCTGTTATTGTGGTTGACTGTTTAGTCTGACCAGTGGCCAGGAAGTGTAAAGTGTCGTCTCTCCAGCCTGAAGACAGCAATGTAAATTGAGAGATTTAACCATACCTATGTTTGTCAAGTCTGGTGTGCAATACATTAGACATAGTGATACTTAGCCGAGTAAATAGTTTTTTTTCCCTTAAAATATTGCCCTGTGTAGCTGGCTTTCTGCTAAATGTACAGTCAAAGCTATTGCTGTAATCAAATCCCTAGTTCCAGTAACACACTTTTAGTGTTCTATAACTGCATGTATTCTCCCAGGCAATGAGAGAGTGTACCTGATACTCAAGACGACAGTGCGTCTGTCACACCCAGCACCGATGGACCTTGTACTAAGGAAGCGGCTCAGTCTCAACATCTATAAGCGCCAGAGCATCACCGATCGTATCCGCAAACGGATCGTCCGTTCAGACTGTCTCACTCACAGCGGCGTCACCTACGAGGTCGTCTCCAACATACCTAAAGTGAGTTACACTGTTGTTAATAATATTCATCTAGTATGAAAAAGTGAAATTTAAAATTTAGATGATTGATTGATCTATAGCAAAAGTGAATAGGGAATCGGTATTAATTAGCCCTGCTGACTTTTAGGATTTTTGGGATCATTCTATTCACCAGTCTATGATTTTGCAGGCCAGTGAAGAACTTGAAGACAGGGAGTCTCTAGCTCAAATAGCAGCTTCTGGAGAGGACACTTCACTGTGTGATGGTGAAACTTATATTGGTGAGTTCTAAATGTCAGTTAAACTACCCGAATAATTCTTTTTTAGCGAATTTCCCTATAGGGAAGTAGCTATTACCGTAGGTGGCACGGTAAGACCTAGACCCGGGACCGATTTACTTTTTCATTTTGATGTCCCCAGAGGCCAAAAACACTATTCGTTCAAATTTTTATATATGTATATATGTACCATGGGAACGGGGCTTTACGGGGCGTTTTATGGGGTAAAATTGGTTTTTCTCACTTTTGACCCTCAAAACACAAAATTTCCCAATTTCTCTTTAGACCTTTTTAAAGAGCTTAAAAAAACAAATAATTTAGTATATTTTGTTCGATTATTAGTAACGGAGAAAATTAAAAAAATTGTAAATTTAAAATTCCCATGTTATTCTTATGGAGAATATTGTCAAATGTTGTAGTTTGCTTGTTTATGAATATATTTTGATCAAACTTGGCAAATTTATTTATTTTGTACTAAGCTATCAATATTTTACTCAAAAACACACTTTATTAGTTTCCTTGTAGCAGCAAACCTAGGTACTCGTTAAACCTAATGTTATTAAAATATATTTAACTGAAAATCAATTCAGACAAATGGAAATTCGCTTAGTCGGCAGGTTTGCTGTGGCGGGGATATTTTTTTTTTGGGTATTGATTTAAACATTTGAATAATTTGCTGTTAGTAATTTTTTGTTCTCATCGTAGGAAAAATGTACATATTGTTTATTTATAATGGTCTTTGCAATAAGAAAATTTTTTACAAAACTAACCATATTTTTAAACTTTTATAGCCGCTATAAAACACATATGTGTATATAGCTGCTAATTTTAAATTTTGACAATTCCACAGAGAAGTACACGAGGGGTGTGAGTGCAGTAGAGGGTATCCTGACACTGGACAGGTTACGGCAGTCTGTAGCTGTCAAGGAGCTGCTGCAGAGTAGAGGACAACCTGTCACCTCTGCTACACTCTCCTCCATGAGGAAGACTGCCAGTGTGCCTAACTTCTCACAGGTAAACTACATCAGGGATATCGTGTGTAGCCTATATGTCCTTCACAGGTAAATTAGGTTAGAGACGTATGTGAAACTCAGTAAAAGTTTGTGCAATACCATGAGGTTTTTAGGGGTTTGCGGGTCCTAGATATTTTCAAGTTGCATCGGGTCAACAGCTGGCCCAAAGGGCCTGTTCAGGACAACAAAAATGTTGTGCCAATCTTGTGTTAGGTAGAGTTGAGTAGAGCTTTGATTTTTGTAATTTCAGAAAGCGCCTTTGAAGATATGAGGTAAACAATTGACAATTTTGCCACAATTGAAATCTCCTTGAAAGGTATTTTCAAATTTTGTCGTAACTGCATAAGACGTTTATGATTTTGCCGTACCCTAGAAGATGTTCTCAATTTTCTTGTTACCGTTGAAGATGATCAGGATCTTGGCTTGGGTTTTGCTGTGACTGCAGAAGATGTTGACAATATTGTCGTGACCACTGAAGACAATTACTACTTCACCGTTTATGCAGAAGATGTCAATGATAGATCGTAACCACAGAAGGTGTTCTTAGTTTCGCCTTTACAACGGAAGACGATCACAATTTCGCTGTGTCAAAGTCAAAGTCAAATCGTTTATTTTCAAAATTTAAACAATACAATAAACAGATATAAATTAAAAAGAAATATATTTTTCCGCATAGGCATAAGCATAAGCCCGTGTGCGGAAAAAGAGTTCTAAATCTGCTATCTGGTATATTGTGGATAAACAGTGATTTTTATTGTCTAATTAAAACATTTACTACATTTCTTAAAAATAATTATATATTATATAAAAACCTAATTTAAAAGTTAATATGTACAAAATTAGGACACAATAACACAAAATTAATTTAGAGTTGAATTTCCTAATGTAACCAAAGATTAAAATAAGCAACTAGAAGCTACAATAGCTACAATGAAAGGGTCTCAGCAGATTACTAAGATGTTTACGTTTTTTTTTTCTTTCTCGTCTTTTTTCTGTCTTTTTTTTAACGTCTTTTTTCCCCTTTATATGTGTACTTGGAAGATTTTCTTAATTTCGCAGTGACCACAAAACATGTTCACACAATTTTTCTGTGACCTTGGGTCCTTAACGCTATTACCGTGACCAAAGAAGATGATCAAAATTTTGTTATGACCATGGGTAACCTTGACCTTTTGCAGTGAAGATAGAAGACGTTCTTAATTTGGCTGTGACTTCCAAAGATGTTCACAGTATCACTGATTTTTGCTTTTGCTGTGATCGAGGAGGATATTAATTAGTTTGTGTGACCACAGATATCTTAGGTTTGACCTAAGTAATTGTTTTCACTGCAATTTGGGGGAGATCATGTACAATATTTTATAGAGTTATTGTGATGTTAAAATTAATATTGTTTAAAATCAATACTTTCCATAAGAAAACTATTTTGTCTTGTTTCAATCTTGGGCTAACATTTTTTACCTACCCAACCCTATACAAAAGAATAAAGTCTGGACCGCAGACTCCTAGAGATTTTAGAATCAATTTTGATATTTTTCTAATTTTATTTTCTTCACTGATAAAATACAATTTTAATCTTGAATAAACCAATTATTGAGATTACGTATTCCTATACAAAATCTTGCTGGGTTTGAGTCAAAATTAATACGTATAATTGAATAAGTGTCAACTCCTTTTCTTTGAACACAAATATTTCCTGCAGCTGATGAGGTTTGACAGCAGCCTGGAGTCACTGAACATGGCAGGTATTGGAGGTGTGACCAGGTCGGAGAGTGTGACGGACCTGAACGGAGAGACAAGGGTTCGCAAGAGTCTCCCTCTCACCCCACACCAACTGCCGGACACACCACCTAAGCAGTTCGGCATCGGTGAGTCCTCGGCAGTGACTGTAGTCAGGCACACTAGTAGTCAGGGGCACTCCAATATTGCTGTCAACAATACCAATCAGAAATCAGTGGTGTTATTCATAATTATCTTTGTCTTCTAATTTATAAGTATCTACAACCAAAAACAGTCAATTCATAAGTCAGTTATTTTTAAATGTTAATAATTTTTTCTGTGATTTTCAAAATCTACAACCAAAACCCAGCCAAATTTATCATTGCAAATTAGTTTTAACTTGTCAACATTTGTGTGAGCTGATGATGCCTTAAGAATATTGTAGGAGAAAGTAGCAAGTACAAAATGTGTATATACTTGTATTACTTGTATGTTTTGGTATAGTTTTGATAAACATTAGTTTTACTCTCATAAAAAAATAATTGTTGATTTTGGTTTTTATCTGGGACATTAAATAATGAGGACATCATATTTTTGGGATTTAATTTTTAATGAAAATCAATGGTTGCAAAAACATAAAAGTATGATAGAAGATCACGGTTAGACTTTGTAGCCAGAGAAAATATATTACTTTACCACAGTAATTTGGTTACCATAAATTCTTTACAGGCTAAAATCATTTCAATATAAAAGTAACTTATGAATGTTGGAGTGCCCTTTATTGATTTCATTCCATGACAACGCCAGTTGATACTGTACCCATGACCGTTTTAAACCTCATATGCCATTGTTTTTCCCTAATGTGCATTTTTCTTACCTACCCTTTCTTACAAGGGTGTCTGCTAGTCCAATTTACTTGTGATATATTAATGGCATATGAAACAAAAATATCCTAATTTAATTAAGTACATATACTTTTTGTAGCAATTAGATCATGCAAAATCTTAACGTTATTCAATTATCATAATCATAGATAGATATAGCTGCAAATAGTAGATTAGATGAGTAGAAATAGATTTTTCATGCTCTTATTAGTATGTCTATTATCTACCAATTATCAGAAATGCTAAAGATCTTTGTGTATAAATGTTTAAAGAATTTTAGAATTTTAGTTTTATAATACTTGCATAATATTTTTTAGCTTTAGATCAGTCTATATTTAGATAATAATATTGTTTAGGATTTTTAACTCAAAATAACACATTATATTAACTAATGATTCAGAAAGAGTAACAATACTGATGCTGATGCCAGATTAATGAAACTTTTATTCTAGTTTATAGGTAGTTTCAGTAATGATGCCTCTGAATCAGTTTCCATAACCTAGTGTGTTTGTTTGTAATGTTAACTTGAAGTCAACAGAATTTGTTAATAGTTAAACAATTCAAAAACATTTTTCAATAGGAAAACACTGCCACCAAGTAAAACTAGCTTTCATAATATACTAAATATTATCAATTTAGTATATTATGATTATTAGATTGGTTAAAATATTTTTAATTTTTTTTTAATACAAATTTTACTGATATAGTTAAATATTAAACCAGAACAATTTTATATTCCAACTAGTATTTGTAAACGTGGTTGGTTTACCAAGTCAATATTTAGGATAACTCATTGACTAGTTTAACTTACCTATTAAATTTTAATTCATGCAGTGTTATATGTTGTCCCTCCGAGAGTTATCTTCCAAATTAAGATTTCTGATGGGTCAGGATTGCTGCGGTTCTTTTTGTATTTCTGATTAATAAAGTAGAAGTTTCAAGACTTAAGTTTTCATGTGACAAGAACAAGAAACGGACATGATAAGAGTAGTACGTAAACTGGAAAATTCTAGGAATCGCAATAACAGGAAACAATAATTGTTTACAGCATTCAAAGTTGAAAAGGCAAACAAGAAATTGTTATTTTTTCATTTGTTTCCTGGTGTTGCACAGTTTGTATACTAATTTTGTCATGTTCTAGGATCCTTCGCATTTTAAGACTAAAAAATCCCAAAACATAGCGTACCTTATGTTTTCCTAATAAGTAAGAGAAAATGTTTGCAGAACCATAACCATTTACTTAACTTAAATTCCCAAAAAATAACAATATACATTAAACTAAGTTATAACTAGGTTAGTCCTGCTATTCAATTTCCAACTACAGTAAAGTGTTTACGAGTGTCAAGCAGACACCCTTGCTGTGTATCGCAAGTTGCAGATTGGGGTGAAGAGAAGCCAGCCCTTGTGCTTTCATTGTCCCTATCTCCGACTTCACTGCATTCCAAAGCCAGTTTTGCATTTTGGCAGGCAGCTTTCAGTTTTTCCTTCCGTTATTTATCTATGCATTATAGTGGCCTCGTTCCTTTCTGGTTCCGTTTTCGGTTCGACACGTATAGATGTTAGTATATTTTTAATCACATAGACTTTGCTGTTTTTAGGCAATAATCACTTGCATTTTGCTTTTCCTTTTCTTTTTGTTCGATCGATGAATTTCAGATTTGAATTTTAATCTCAGGATTCTTGTTTTTGTTTTACATCTCTTTGGTTGTTTTCCATTGTGAAAAATATCTGATATGTCGCTTTCTGTTTTCTTTTTTTCCGTTTTGCGCCAATCAACCCAGGCTCCATTTTGTCAGGTAATAGGCTTTCGACACATTCTGTCCGCATGTGACTGTTCTGTGTAGATTGGGTTCACTTGGTTGATCATTCACACCCGTCCGGAATGGCATCATGCACCGTCAATCATTTTGAAGTAATAGACTGTTCTCTTGAAACGTTGATGTTTTCAACCACACTGACTTAAAGCTAAAAGATTTTCCACTAAGAGAGATTGTTTTGAAATACTGAACTCACATAATTCTTGATTACACACTTACTAAGCATTCACATTACTAGGTAGCAAGTAAACACATCAACCCCAATGAGCCTCGCGGTTTACTTAAAAACAGTGGAAATCAAGGTTTCCATACTACATTTGCTTGATACACTTTGGAGGAAACATGCTTGATTGTGACCCCTTTTTTCTAGGCTCGACTGCTTGGGCATGGTTAGCGCATGAACCCCCCCCCCCCCCCCTACCCACTACCTTGTGTCTAGTGATTCTACGTACATTTCTCTCTGTAACTCTGTAAACTTATACTCTGTGTATTTCTCTGACCCTTTTCCCTAGATCTGTGGAGGTGAACAGTGTGTAATATGTTACCCCAAATATGAGAAGAAGTTGTGAATTGTGTAGAATCGGGGTGTGCAAACCACATACAAAATTAGAATGTTTGTTTAACAAGCAAGTTTTTTGTTCTAATGACAAACTTTCTCATCTCGGAACTGATCTCTATACGTTACAACCACACAGACTCTGATTTCTCGTATATCAACCTTATCTTGTTGAAAAAGAGAGAATCAGATAAATCCCTCATAGACTCCTCACAGTTTTAGCAGGCTGCTTTCTAAAGCTGTTGGTATTTGTCATGCTTAATTGATGTGTTGTAAATAATAATTGAACTGTATTTAAATTTGAGTTGTTCAATAATTTGCAATTGTAAGCATCAGTAAATTAGAAAATAGATTGATCTTAAAAAATACTAGGGCTATAGCCGTTAAATTGTATTTAGCTTTGAGTAGTTGTGTTTGCACACCCTTATGTTGCACGAATGTAATGATTCGGTGTAGGTAGTCACTAGGTTAATAAAAGTTGTTTCTACAGAAAATGTTGTGTTTGGAAGTACTTAAAAACTGTAAATAGTTTCAGATGTCTACTTTACTCTATAAGCTAGATTAAGAATAAAGTTGTTACTTTTTGAAAATATAATGGGTAATGGGTAATCCTGGAGAAAATTTCAACTATTTGCGAGATAGGAAAGACTAGCTGCACTGACCTCCGATAGTTCCACAGCAGCTTAGACCGATTTCACTTTAGTTGTTGGATACTGCCCTACGTAAGCACTGGGTCAATAAGATTTGAAGGTTGCTGCCGAGATGCTACGTAAATAAAGGTGGTTAGTGGTGCTTGCAAAATGGATGGCAGAGACAGCCATCCATTTGTTTATGTTGAAACAATTCCGCTCTGATTTCATCAACAATGTGGCTAGTACAACTGACAACCTAACCCCCAAGGAACTAAGCCCAAAGGAATTATATTCCTGTTGCCAACCAAACTTAAAAGCTACTAATTTTTTTTAAGCATGTGTTAAGTCAACTAAAGTAAACCACTAATCAGTCAAAACCAACAACCTTATAAATGATTTAGTCAAAGGCCAGACATAGCTAAAACTTTGGGCACTTAAGGTTGGGTAAAACATATTGACATCAAAATCATGAATGACTCTTGCGATCTTGGATAATTCAAGAACTACTCAGGCACTGGCAGCAAAACAGTTGTAAACATCTCCCATTATTGAGGTGAAATTGTAAGAGACCACATGGTGTGAATGTTTCCTGTGATTACAGCGAACATCTTCCGTAGTTGAGTGGCCAAGTCTATCTATCTCCTGCTACCGTGAATTTTTTGTCGTGCAATATTTGCAGGTGTTTTCTGCTATAGAAAATTGAATCACTACCTTACCTCTAACATAAATGACCCAACAGAGCTTAATCCAAAGTTTATTTCCAGCCTGAACATAAAGCCCCACAGATCCCACCAGTTTAGAGAACTGCCCACCCCCAGTCACTTTTAAATTGTTTGTGCCAAACAGGTCATAACATAAATATTGTCCTACATAATTCATAAAGTTTCTCATAACACTTTGAACAATAACAATTATGTAGTCTACGAATAAAACTTTAACGAAACACAATTTGTTGTTGGGTCTAACCATATTGTTAAATAGTTATTTGTGCAACTAGTGAGCAAAGGGAGCAATTGTCTCACTCGAGAGAAATACTTACTCACGAGCCGTAGGCGAGTGAGGAATGGTTTCTCGAGCGAGGCAATTTGCATTTGCACTCGAGTTGCACATTATATTTTTCCTACAGTTACCATAAAACAAATAAATTGGTAAAGAAACGTGACATATTTTTACACAGAAGTGAACTTTTAAAATGACATTTAATGATACAACAGTACAACAGCTGACCAGCTGATTTACAGCCAGTGCTGCGAACGTATTTCGCGCGCATACGACCTTGTCTGCATGTTACACGCTCACTATTTCGTGGCTTCACGTTGCAAATCTGGAGCGAGTGAGACAAAGTAATTAGAGTGAGACAATGTTAACATTGTCTCACTGATGAGCGAATTGGCTACTTTGCTTTCTCAAATCAGTGAGAGAACATGTACATTGTTATGTAACTGTAGGAAAACTAATTATAATTGCTATGATTAGTTAAAAATTCTTTGTCAAACTCATTCAAGCTATAGGGTCCTCAAGTTCATTGAAAATCTTGTAAGTGATGTAGAAACAGAAATGTTATTGATTTTTGTTGTAAAATTTCTAAAACACAATCCAGTCATTTTAATATTGTTCACTATAGAACTATTAAATGATAACTCTCACATGAATAAACATGCACCAAACAAGGTAACAGTTTTTTATAAAGTTTTTATACAGTTAGGAGTTGAATGAAACTACCTTTTGGATGTGGGAAAGATGCTGTTATTGTTAGGCCTATGTGTAAATGTGTTTCTTTTTTATCCAGCCTTCCCTCCCTTAAACCTTTCACGGAAATGTCAAATATACAAATTTCAAGAATAAATACATATATATGTCTGCCGTCAAGTTTACCTCTGTTTGTTAAATAGGGTTATTTAAACATTAGGTTCTGTGTTAGTGTTCTGTTAATGTTTGTGTTTGTTGACGGTGTCAATTGTCTTTCAGCTCGTCCAACATTCCTCAATCTGAACCTCAACTTGAACTCTCTGAGGCTACAGCCCGGCTCCAAACGTATGTTCTTGTTCTTCTCTTTGCTGTTCCTGTTCTTTTGTTTCATCTGACTTTCATTTGTTTTCATCTTTTGTTCTAGGTTTTGTTATCCTTTTGGTCGTAGGCCGTACACCTATTTTCTTTCGTTAAAAGTTTTTTTGCAGTTATCCTCGATTCAACACCACTTTTTGCTATCTGTTATTTTAAACTGATTAATTGTTTGACTTATCAAATCTAGTTGAACACATATTATATATTTAAGAGATTATTCGTCTGTGATGGCTATTTTATGGATAGCCAAAAAGTTGTGGTGTATTGATGGAAGACAATCCATTTAGTTGCTTGTGTCCTATTGTTTTTATTATTCCCTATGTTCAAGTTATGGTTTCTGTGTAAAAGTTATTTTTTTGTTTCCTTGTATTTAGTTATGATAATTAAATAGGTTTAATATAGTGTATAAGACAAATTCTTGACGTTGTTCTGACCTTTCAAGTTTGTAGTTTAGGTTATTGTTTTATGTATTTATGTTATTGAAGTGTCCATACCAAAATTTATCGATTCTCGATATAAACTTAGCTGTTGATTATGGCTATAGATATGTTTTACTTTTAGCCTACAAGAAAAGAAAGATTATGTTTTGGGACTTAAATCTCTTTAATAAAGGAGAAAAGACTGCATGTTTGATACAATTAATTTCAATAAAATAATGTGCAACTAGGTGACAAATTTTTCTTTAAAAAATAACAGCCTACAGTGTAAAAATATTCGTGTGCACTGTGCAGCAAAATATATTTCGTCGGGTGCTTTTACCAAAAACTCCATAGTTTTAATTAGTAACAAAAGTGTTTAGGTATGTTCCATTGATATCAAGAACAAGGCTGGGCAGAGTGGATTCACTGTGAACAGCCGCCGGCCTGGCCCTTATGTTCGACGTCACTATAACCTCCGTGAAGGGGTGGCAACGATGGATCGGAACAATCGATGTTTTTATTACAATATTATAAAGCCATGGCTCAAGGTTAATTGAACGACGAATCTAGGTCTTTGGTAGACACAAGAAAATCAAACGGTTTTAAACTTGTAACCTTATTTTATACTCTTTATAAACAAACACATCCTACATATCGGTTCTCGATATTTATCGAGAACCACAATAGACACACAAAAAACTACCTCAAACTGCGTCAAAGCAATCCAATCGTCATTTACTCCCTTGAAACACGAACGTCGCTTTTGGCTGACATGGCAGTGCAGCGTCGCCTCTCGACCAATGAGAACTCTTGTTACATACTTAAAAGTAGGCGATTTATCTTAGATTGTCAACATTCACCATTCATTATAATATTATAAAATCGACATGGACTATGCGTATGTTTTTTAATCAATGCACTATGTTATAGTAGCACTTAAAACTAAACTCTTTAACTAGGTAGATAGTACAGATAAAATACCTACTTTTTGTCGCAATTGACAAAACCTAACTCTACGAGTACGACAGTCGACGATGTTGAAGTTGAATCTAATTTTTCTAATGATGCATAATGCAGGGATGAAACTGAACATTTCAACGTGTTTAGGTTATTTATTTTGTACTAAAAATAAAAATAATACATCTAAAGGTCTGACTTATTGATACATAAATTTTTTAGTATAATTTCGTGTTGGCAGGACATTCGTGCGCTGGTTGTCTGAGACTGAATTCTGAGTGTCTGACATCTTGAAATGTAGATTGTGTTGTGCAATATCATCTGCAGAGAGAACAGCTGAAGCTAAACGAAGACACTGTAGCATTTTTGAACTAAATAGTTCTAAGTTGGCTACTAAAGTTGTTAGCCGTGATTACAAAACTAATAGCTATCAAATAAATAAATTAATATTAATGCTAAAATCAAATATCTATCCCGTCGGGTGTCGGTATCGGAATCGTTTTTTTGGCAATCGATTTTTTATACCAATACCAATTTCTAAGTATCGGTGGTATCGATAATTGACACATCCCTACCTAAAACTCATTTCGGAGGGCTAAATTAGTTTTATATATGCATTGGGGAGAAATCAATGCATCAGGATTTTAATGCATGCTGAATCGAATTGCGATTTGATGCATCTTACACCACAAATTGAGAATCGGTATCAAGAATCGACACATCCCTAGTTATTATAGTATAAGTTACGATTGTGGGTTTTTGAATCCATTATTAAAAAGTGTAATGTTATGTAAAATTAAAATGGCCTAAATAACTTTCTAAATTTGGCTCATTATAACATGTCCCATCAATACGTGCTAGAGAGGTGTGAAAAGCTTATAAACATTTCTTCTTACCAACCTAAACTCTACATTTTAGGCAATTCTACTACAAATTCATTAAAAAACGGTGTCAGTGCTCATGAGCTATTAGCATATTTATTTAAAATTGACTGTTATTTACAGTGTTGTTGAAAAACTGTTTTTGTCTATATAAGTATCAAAATAAAATACGACGGTTGTCCATAAATTACTGTCCAGGAGGTCTTCCATCGGGTCAGGTTTCCTCAGAGCAAGCTAGTTAAAATCTGACATCAGCGCTATGTTTTTTTTTTTATTTCTAAGACAAGACTAAGCAAAATAATCGTTGATGAAGTGAACAACATCTTGCTGATGTCAGATTTAAACTCACTCGCTTTGTCTTTAGGAGGAACTTGATTCCAAACCTTGAATTGATAATACAGTACCATAATCCTTTTTTTGGCAATTCAAGTACAAATCCGTTTAGAAACCTTTAAATGCTCATGAAATTCTATACTTCAAAATAGGTTGTTATTTACAGGTCAGTTAAACAGTTTGTGGTCGTTCACATTCCTATATGAAATATCAACGTCCTAATCCCTGTGAATCCCTGCGAACTGGTCTTGTGGTAGAGCAAGGACTTTGGTCCCTAAGGTCCCAGATTCAAATTGCGTCAATCAGAAAAACTTGTAATCAATTAATACATCCATACAGTTTCACTGATGCTTTGTAATATTGTGACTGTGTTTTGTATGCAGCGTCTCCCAACACCAAGCTGGGTCTGCGGATGACCACTTTACATGAGGAGCAGACTCATAGTAGTCTGATACAAGAGGAGGAGGGTGGCAGTGAGGATGAGGCCCCTTCTCAACCTCCCTCCACACTACCACCACCTCTCAAGTTTGGTGAAATAGACTCGGTGAGTTACACAGCAAGTCCTCGCTAAATCTATATATTAATACGCAAGCAGTTTTCTTTTCACAGTCATAGCTCGATAACCGCTTGATGGATTTTAACGTTTGAGGTGTCAAATTAAAGGTATTTTCATGTAGATGTGCAAATACGTCTCAGAATATTAAGAAAGGGCATCACTTAAGTACAGTTAAGGGCTAAAGTTTGGAAGGCGGCACCATCTGTTGACATTTGATTAAACTAATTTCCCTTTGTTTACAAATATATGGACGTAGTTTGAAATAGTTTTTAAGGTTAACCACAGACTGCAGGACTTAAGTACGACAATCGTCGTAGCGATGGTTGGCGTCAAGAGAGGAATTGAGCTACATTTGGTCAAAAGCTCACATTACAGTGTGTGGTTGACATCTACGTGCTCATAGAGTGCACCCGCCTACTATTCATAAGAGATAACCAAAGCAGTATGAGAGTGAATGTAAATTTAAATATTGTGGATTGCTTTTATATTTTTTTACATCATAATATTTTTAAATTTCTATAATCAGTCATATAAATTATTTTAGAGTGACTCTTTGATTAAGGTCTTGCTGTTTATGTTTTTTGTTTATTTTTTTATACAAGTTGTAGTTTTGCTCGATTTCGAGCAACAGGTTATCTAGTATATGTTAATGCATTACAGAAAAAAGTCCAGACTCAGGCCTGATAGATACACAATAAAAGGCTGTATAAAACAGATATTTTGTCCCAACATATGACTTATTTAGAGAGTAGATTAAATTTGTATCTGAAACAAACATTCTAGTTACTTTCAATTCGTATAGGTTTTTCTAGAGAGTTCATTCTATTTACTCTTTTTATGCAGTTACGTAATGGCTAGGCATTGCAGAGAACAGGAACAGTGCCCAATGAGCTCGGATGAGAGCAAGAAAATGTTTAAATTCTATGTTAACCAATATAAGAACTATATGGGATGCAAATTCCATTCTCATTACAGTGTTTGTAGATATAGTTCCACAAGAGTTAAACAAGTAGCAACACTGTCTAGTTGTCAACAGGTCTCCAGTGTTTGCGGATGCAGGAAAATGGTCCTGATCACAAACAAAACCACGCTCGAAAGTTATACAAGACCAACAGCTTACAATAAGTTTGTTTCAATTTGGCTAGGTTGAAATATTGGAAATCAGAAATCAAATCAGTCAACTAAGCACACTCAGTGGCTCAACTCATCAGATTTCTAATCCAAAACTGAATTTCAAAACTTGACAATGGGATTTTAGTTCATAGTCAATGGCATCTCAATAGTTATCTAACACTCAGAATGGAAGATGGCATAGTAGTAGTAAATTCCTTAGTGCAGTTTTGCACAGGGCCGGATTTAGAATTTTTGCGCCCCTAGGCCCAATTAATTTTCCGCCCCCTAGTCTGGTCACATTTCTTCAAACCTTTATTAAAAACTATATAATTCCCATAGGCTTAAGTTAACTGCTTGAATAACACTCCTCTTTGGAATCAGAGCAAGTTTTTTTTAAGAATAATTGACTTAATTAGCCTTAACAAAATGCCGTCTTAAACACTTTTAGCAATTTTATGCTTTTAATAAATGCTCACGTTTGTGGCCGTGGTGGGACTGAAACAAAAAACTCAACCACCCGAGCATTCCTGCAAAAAAAAAATAAAAAAAACATGGCCATTGATTCCAATTCCAGGCCCAAAAAACATGAACTCCATACAGTGTGTCATACCATAGATTAAACCTGCTCCTCTAGTAGATTTGTCATCATTTTGGATTAGCTGAAAACAATTCTTGTTATTTTGTTTAAGGAGTATGTTTTATCTATGTTTAAACCTAGTTTATCCAAAACAAAACGATATAATGATTAAAAATAGGTCGTCTCCTGTTTATTTTACTAGAAATTGAAACAAACATCATAGAACTTACCCTAAAATAATGTAAACAAAATTACATCAAAACTAACAACCAGTGTCACCAACATGAACTAGACATGAAACAATTTTGAATTAGCAATGTCATAAAAAGTCGACTTGAGTAATATTTAATCCATGGTCGTACTGCATATAGATTAAATATGCAGAGTGGTTTCCAATTCCAAAGCAAAACAGAGCAATATTCCGGCCAACCGTACCGACCTTACTTAGGTCTGAGGAGAAAATTACAGCATTAGGCATACTGATGTTTGTGTTTTGGAGTGTTTTGAATTTTTCTAAAATCTAATGCAAACTAAGATTAATATGTTTTCGTTAATTTTAAAGGTAAATACATCGTCGTTTTAATATTCAACACAACTTATTATATATTTTAACTTGATCCTGCAGATTGTTGTAAACTAATCAAAAGACTTAACTTTTGAGGTGAGAGTGGTAACGATGTCTAGCACGCATGCGCCCCTAATCAATCTGACCAGTAGTACCGAGCCCGTCATCGTCAACATAACTAGAGCCTACTCCCGTATAACCAATGTTATTTTATCTTTACCAATTTTGTAATGAAATTGATGCGTGATTCTGAAAATAGATTACATTTCCTGACAATTATTTCTTCTTATGAAATTCAGAATCACAATGCTTTGGAGTTTTTTTTTATCAACTATGACTTTTTATTTTAAAGAGCCTAGGTATAAAAAAAATTACTCTCGGCCGTGCGCCCTCTGGGACCATGCGCCCATAGGCCCGGGCCTATTGGGAAATCCGGCCCTGGTTTTGCATAACAAGTAAATGTTGCACACAGGGTGAACAGACCAGGCTGCCAGAGAAGCCTCTGATGTCTAGTTCCCGCACTCTTGACTCCATCGTAGACTACAAGACTGGCACACCAAGCACTACGTCCAGGTAATGATCCCTAGTTGAATACTGAAAAAATGCAATAGCTTTTAGATGATTTGAAACTGGACCTAGCTATAGGCCTACTTGTTAAAAATTGGATTAATAAAATGGTCGTGGCTTAAAAACAGTTGATCTTAGTCAGCAAAGTAGAACAGATCATTCTCACTCACCACCATTCACATTTGGCTTAAAATACATTATTGTCTTAATGTGAAAGTCATAAATTAACGGGGGCGATTATTGCCTCAGTCCAAGACACTTTAGAGCAATTAACATCTGAACATTTATGTGACACTGTTTTGGCCACATATATTATTCTTTTCAACAGCCTGAAATACAACTCATCAGGTAGGTGGAGTGATCTTGCGTGGGATTTTGTAATTCAGGAAACATGATCACTAAACATTATTGTTAAATGGGCAGCAACCAAGTAGTACTTAAATCGTTATTCACTAATATCAGTTATTTCTTTCAACATTTATCGAGGACAAGCGGTCAATTTATAATTTATTATTCATTCACACATTATCCACCAGTAATACGAGTTAAGTATACAAGTAACACCCTAAAGAGGCGTCTGGTCTTGGTGGCCCCAACACACCCGCTATCCGTTGTTGCGACACCCTGCTCAACCGACGACTCCTAGCTCCTCACAGTGACTGCCGTCCAGGTACAACACACACTTTGTATGTCCAGGTTTGCCCGCTGGTGGGAAAATGTCCCAGATGCGGGAAATTATGGGGCCCCTGCGTCACTATATACCGGTTAAATATGGTTCTTAAGGTATTATAATATAGTTCAATCTAGAACACTTTAATTACACCTGCATTCACTGACATTGTAATACCTTCTGTTTATTTGTCTACTCTGTTTTCTACCAGCGGATACGGATCAGAAGCAGTGTCATCTTCTAACCTGACAAACGACGATGTCGCTTCTCTGCGCAGTATGAGCGTGGAGACACCAGACTTGGAGCCTAGAGTCCCCGCAACACCTGCAGCTGCCTCAACTGGCCCCACCAATGGAGACACTCACTCAGCAGACGACGACTCTGCTGGCGAGGCTAACACCCCCGCACTGCCTCCTGGCAAGGTTAGATCATTGAAATGACAAATTATGATATATAGAGGTATAAAATAAACTTGAATTTTTTTACTTGAATAATCCGTTTTTGACCAATTTTATTCAGCTTGATTGTATTAAGATAAGTCGCTAGTTAATCTATATGAGTTTGGTAAAGAGGCTCTCCAAGTGAATAGTGTGGCCTATTCAACCAGTCTTAGGCTGGTATGGCTCATGCTTTTGGTAGAGAGTTGCCATGCTTTCAATTGTGCAACCTTATTATTGTGGACATTTTCTATCAAAATTTGGGAAAAGACAAAAGGTTTTACAATATTTCCGGATTTAAAATCTGACTCCATCCTCAGTAGAGAAATTGAAAAACCTTATACAGTGGAACCTTGATAACAAGACCCTCGATAACAAGTCACCCTTTTTAACAAGTGTCATTTTCTAATCCCCTTGAATTTTATTTTAGCCCTTATCACATGTTGTTGCAAACCTCGATAATAAGTCAACCTTGATAACAAGTCTTATTTAAATCCCCTTGAGAGTCTTGTTATCGAGGTTCTACTGTAAGAACAATAAACAAACCCATGCGAACCTGGAAAAAACCACCTACACAAACATTGATGGGTGTCTTTGTTTTTAGCAAATTTCCCTATAGGGAAGTAGCTATTACCATATTACCGGGGTTTTAAGGGGGGTTTTATGGGGTAAAAAAAGGTTTGTTTCATTTTTGACCCTCAAAACACCAAATTTCCCAATATTTTTTAAAGAGCTTAAAAAAAACCAAATAATTTAGTATATCAAAGTGTTTGTGTACGGTGTACGTATTGGTAACGGAGAAAATTCAATGATGACGTTTTAATGAGCAAACTTCAACATTATTCATTTTCTGGCATGGTTTTGTCTTGGATTGATTCTGATTTAACTAACAGGAAACAAATAACATCAATTATAAAAAATAGCAAAAAATTTATCTCAAATCGACACAAAGTTGAATGTGGTGTCCCATGTCCCACAAGGCTCGATATTAGGTCTTTTTTTATGATATACCTCAAAATGTATCTTCTAGCCTCATATTATATGCTCATGACACTACAGCCATAGTTAAAGCAAAAGATATACCCAATCTAAAATTAGAACTCAACCGCTCACTCATAGATTTGTCCAATTGGTTTACAGTAAATAGGCTGCAACTCATTAGTTCTAAAACACAGGTTTCAAACAATCTAAAATAGAGAGAATCAAACTTTTGAATTACGCTATCAAAGCAATACTTTATCTTTTGTTGAACATACAAAGTTCTTAGGCTTAAATATTGAAACAAATTTAACCTGGAAACCACATGATACTAAAGGGGTTGAAATACAGCCTATTTTCAAAGGTATGTTTTAAGGAATATAATTGCTTTGAAAATTAAACTTACTGTATATTATGCAATGTTTTATTCCATCATGCAGTATGGCATTGAACTATGGTTTCAACTTCATATGCTCGACATAAATTTCTCTGTCTATCCATAAATGGATTATTGCTACTAACTAAAGATATTTTTGTTATTTGACTAATATTCAGTTAATGCTCAAGTTAACAGCTCTGTGCATTTTTACATCTGAAGTTTCCTTTAGGTGGTACGACGCAGGAAGAGTTCCAGCCGGGCACAAAACGCAGCAGTTCGCGCCTCTTTCCCTCTAGCAAGGACCCCGGTGTCTGACAGTAAAGCAGCTCTGAAACTGCAGCAGTCAGTTAATGGAGAGTTGTCCTCAGATACACATACAGAAGGTATTTGTTGTTGCATCAGATGATAAGTTAATTTGTTGGGCGACTTAATTGCGTTTTGTAAATATATATTACTTTCACTTGTAGACTTTTTGTGTATAACAGTTTGAGTTTCATTGGCCCATGCAGTAAGATGAGTTCTAAAGATAAATTTGTGTAAACCAAGTAAATATTAAAAAAATATTACATATTATATATTACATATTACACATACATTTACATATTACACCAAGGAGAATAAACTAAACGTTTTTCCTCTTGTGACCTTTCTTTTGTAATGCCACTGGCATAGAAAAAATCGGCAAATCTTTAGCAAAGTGACTGATTCCTAGTAGCTGTTTGAAATGAGCTTCAAGATCAAACAGTTCATTGTGTTTCCTGACAACGCCTCTCCATATTCCAACTGGTGTAGTGGTTGCAGAATCAATTTCTACTTTATCCCAATCTTCTAAAAACCATTTATGCCTCTTAAAAACACATTTGTGTACCATGAAATTATTAACTTAAGAGATGTGATTATGTTTAAACACTGTTGATTATGATGTCTTGGCAGAGTCTCAACAAGAAATTGGTCAAGTTAATGATGAACTATGTAATCTCAACTTCCTATTGAATAAAAATAAAACCACGATAATCAATTTTAAGTTTTAAGATATTTCTAAATTAAATCATTCAGATAGTGTGCAGCTTCAACATTCTGATAATACTACTTTTTTGGGCCTACAATTAGATCACACTCTTAACTGGACAAAACATGTTGAGAAAGTATGTTTTAAAATTAGTTCAGGTAATTTTGCATTGAGAAGACTGGCCTCTTTTTGTAATTTGGACTCATTAAAATCAGATTATTATTCGTTAATTCACTCACACATTCTTTATGGTATAGAGCTTTTATGGCACAATATCAATTATTAATCTACAAAGAATCGGAATCCTTCGTTTTCAAAAAGTTGCAACTAGGACTATGCTTAAGCTTCCTGATGATGATCAGATCATTGTAGAGATCATTTTTGTAATCTGAAAATTATGACTGTCTTTAGTCTTTATTTTTATAGAACAGTGAGACTTTACCAAGACAACGAAATATTCAGACATATAATACAAGAAATCGGGAAAATTCAAATTAATATTTCTAAAAAAGCAATTTCAAACAAAAATCAAACTGTTCCTGAGATAAAATATTATAACTACATTCCTGAAATCATAAAATCTGAAAAGAGTTTTAAACGCTTTGAAAGGAAATTAAAAATATTTATTGCGACCAAAGCGCTATACAGTTTTGAGGAATTTTTCAGTGTTTAAGGTCATTTAAGGCGAGCCATACCGACGATCACTCCGTGACTGCGGAGTCATTTCGACGATTGCACTTTGACCGCGAGTCACAAGTTTTTATAACTGTAAACTTCTACCCATTTTTTGGTTTTGATAGAGATCAGTGCCACAAATGGTAAAAATAGATTTTTTTGTCTTTTTTGGTAACTGCAATACTCAAGACTTTCTTTTTAAGGACAGGAAAAAATCCCGTCCCGTACTAAAAATTCAATCCCGTCCATCCCTAGAATATCTTTGAATTGAATTGAATTAGTTAATTCTTACTAAAATTTGTTTGATCGAGACATCTTGCATTTTTCCCCACTTGAGGCACAACAAGAATCTACGTGAACAATACTTGTTATCTGAATTTACCCTTTTCATTCGTACCAATTGTACCAACACATCTGGAGTAATAGCTAAGCTGCTAAGCTAGCTCTACCAACACATCGCTAAAAGTTGTGATAGTAATGTGTTTCTTCCACTGTGGGGGAGTTGGGAGAGCTGGTCTATTGGTAGAGTGTGGGACTTTGGTTTACGAGGTTTAAATCCTGCCATACACTAAGTGATTTTACATAAGTCATAATGCAGCGACCCAGCGACCCACCTAAGACCTAGTGCTTCAGTAATATATCAAATCAAATTATCTTTATTCACTTTAAACATTTTATATACATGAATAACCATAAATTTGACAATTATTTTAGAATGGACAGCTAATTCATTTTTTATTTAGAAACTCATCTATACTATAGGGACCCAGATAAATAAGAATGATTTTAGCTTCTTCCAAAAATTGGGTTTGTTTTGATCTTTTTTTTAAGGCAGGCAAACTTCTTATGAATAAATTGCCGATATACAAAGGCTTCATTTTTGAAAGTTTCAGCCGATGATGACTTTTTACACTAAGATTTTTCTACTTTGTATTGTATTTATGGGATACTTCAGTGTCTTTTTTACAAACATGCCGAATAGTTTTAAAAATATACAAACCATACACTGTAAAAATTTTCATTTCTTTAAAGTACTTTTTCACAGACTTCTTATCCTTAAATTTTTCAATAACTCTAATGGCCTGTTTTTGTAGTTTAAAAACCTTTTCCAAATTTTTTTTGTGCTGTCCCACCATAAATTTTGATTCCGTAGCCAATATGGCATTCTATAAGCGAGTGGTATATCAATTTTAACACAATTTTAATATGTGTTTTTTCAGATGAAAGTGAGCTTAAGATTACAACCAGGGAAGAGCCAATACCTGAGTGGGTTACTACAGGAGAAAGTGTGTTGATTAGACCCTCTAACACATCTGGAGTAATAGCTTTTGTTGGCCCAACACAATTTGCCCCTGGAACATGGATTGGAGTAGACCTGGATGCTCCCATGGGTAAATTATTTCTGTATTTAGCTCTCTTCTCTTCTTATTTTTGCTCATCATTAGACTTCAAGTATTAATGTTTGAAATATATATTTGAGGAGTACTCTAGAGCCAAATTAATATTCTGCAAGTACAGTGCTCTTATAGCTAACTAGGGATGTGTTGATTCTCGAAACTACCGATACTTGGATACTTGGCCGTTGATATTGGTATCGAGAATCAATCGTCAAAAGTCGGTTCCAATATCCATACCCCACTAACATCCCCGAGTGCCACGCAATCGGATTTTAGCACGATTGCCACGAACGCGCAAAACGACGATGGCATTTCCATGACAGTCCGTGATTTGTTTGACTTGAGTTTATGGATTTTTAATTCTTTTCATTTATTAGTTATCATCAGATGTTTTTAGATTTTAATCTCTTGCAGTAGATCTATCTATACAGTAGTCTAGTAGTATGACATGATATGCAATATTTACAGTCCTTACTAATTTATATAAATAAAATTAGAGTTTTGTCTGTACATTGCTCAGAATTATATTTTTTGTGTTATTTTTATGTTAAAGTAGCCGAAACAAGTCTTATCTCAATTTCCGTCTGTCCTTCTCGGCCCAGAAGGCATTTTACGCGGCCTTCTCCTGAAAAACGAGAGTACCTATCAAGATTCAAATCATTTTAATGTATTTACAGGATTGGCGAGAGTGTCTTTAGCCATTAAAATATGGCCTCACTACTTTTTAAATAAAATGACGGTTGTTCAAAAACCCAATTTGGTGGTTTTTTCCCAGTTTCCCAAGTTTTTTCCTAATGTTTATCACATACGTCATCTATGAAATAACAAACAGCTGTTAGTTTGGATCAAGGTTAATTTTTTCAGCTGTCACTGATATGTTTACATTCTGTTGTTTACAAATACCACAACCATTTCCAATCACATTTTGAAAGAAAATCCAAACCAAGTGAGATTTAAAAAGTTTTTAAATCAATAAATAAGGTTACCTTCGTCAATCAGCTCATAGAAGTTGTAACATTGTTACGGCCGTTTCAGCATATCTATGCCATCATCAGACGTTCAGCCTTAGTGGCGTCGTTAATATACAAAACACAATACAATATCGGCCAAATATGAATTTTAAAAAGTTTTTCTTTCCATAACGGATTTAATTAATCGCAAGTGCAATAATGTGTAACCGTAAATTAAATTAAAGGTACTTGAGTATTAAACGGAGGCCACCTAACCTACAGTTTCTTAACTTAGCTATGATAATACTGATTATTAGTAAACCTTCATTCGATGTTTTCACTATCAGCAAGTTTGGTTGGTTAGGTTAGGTTATGATAGTTTAATTTTATAACTGATATAGCTGACCAGACACAGTGACAGGCGATGACAGGTAATGGCGCGCGCTCCGGTCAACGACCCTGACCCCCCTACTTGGAGGGGATTCTGCGAGTAGACACATGACTCATCTGATAACGCTCGACTCACAACAATACTAGAATAGTTCTACTACAACATCTATAACAATTTAACCCTCTATAAGTGCCGCGGCGCGTTTCGTAATGGTGGCATCCGTTTAATACTCAAGTACCAAATTAAATAACTAAGCATCATCCAGGTCAGGAACCGGAGATTCTTTGTGTATCAAATTGTTCTTGAGTTTTGATAACCGGGAAAAAGACCTTGAATCAGTGTTGTTTAGGGCTGGGAAACTTACATTTTTTAAATCATTGTCACCAATAGCTTGCAAAAATTAGGTTTCTACTCATTGACGGTGCTTACTAATTTTATACCGTATGTACTTTGCTATGGTTAAACCGTAGCAAATTCCTTACTTAATTAAATTCTGCATTTTTGTGTGTATGTCTGTTGGTGACGCATTAATGTCTTTATTTCTCAGTGTTTCACAAAAAAGACAAGAGCACCTTTGTTAATGAAAATGTTAACCAGAATAAAGTGTTCAATGGTGAGGTTGAGGTAGTATTTTAACCAGTGACTTCAACTGACTACACTATCCCCGTGTGTAGAACGGGCACACAGCTAGTTAGTTATGTTATACCATAAACAATGTGTGTGTTAATTATTGTTTTTGAGTTTTATAGTAAATCAGTTTACACAACATATTTTCTTCAATAAGTTCTCCACTTGTCATGTTGCTTAGCCTATTACTATTTTAGGCCATATAAAAAATCATTCTTATGTAAAGCTGTAGGCATTATCGGCCCAACCCGACCGGACGCAAACCAAAATACTCTGATCCGCAGACCCCTAAGTATAATCAATCCATTCAGAAAATTTGACAAAACAATTTAAAAATGGTATTGTATCGAGAATAGATTTTTCTGGTATCGGTATTGAGAACAATTGATAATTTTGGTAACCTCACATCACCAGTTATAACACATTTAAGTCACAAATAAAAAAATATAAATTTTTTCCTTGTATCCTAAGTGTTTTCAATTAGTTTTATTCAGTCATTTTAGTCAATGCATCTGCTAAAAGCTGTGTTGACATACACTAACAACCTAATGTAATAAATGTTTTTTTTTTTATACAGGCAAGCATGATGGAACTGTCCAGGGTGTGAGGTATTTTGAGGCTCGGCCAAAACACGGAATATTTGTAAAGGCTAATAAACTCATTCAAGACCGGCGCGGTAGAGCTCTTCGCAACATGACAGCGCCAGATGCTGGTGTTATGCGGCGCAGTCTCAGCAGAGGTATGTCAATGAACTTTTATTTTAAATACTGTTTTTAAATTCTATTACCAAATTTATTATTTACTAAATTTATATAATTTTTTATATTGTAGATCGAAAGTTTGACTCTTAGAAAACTATTTTCTATAATTTATTGCCTAAAACTTGAATGTTTTATAGTTCAACCTTTGACTACTTAACTTGACATTCCACCCTATCTGTTAAAGTTGTTGTCAGTTTTAAAAATCAAATTAGACCAGGTTCAATTGAGCCATCAACAGATAGGACTGATATAAAATACTGATTTCTGTCAAATATGCGGACCTTTTAACCACGCCAAACTGGTATTACAACTTATTGTAAGTTAAAGCATCCTTAACATCCACTTTCACTATCACATTAGCAAAAAAGGGGAAAAATTTAATTTGTAAACACTAAGTCATTCTGTGAATGGAATATTCAACTACATTATGTTAATAAAAAAAATTGGGACGGCTGATCCATGTAGATGAGATATCTAAAAGTCAAGGGTTTCACTCAGTGATAGTTTCATCAAATTTATTATCTGGTTGAGATTGATTCAAACCTCCAACCTTCACTTGTTGCAGGTCTCATCACTCATTCAGTGTACACATGACATTAATCACTTTTTTATTGGTAGATTTAGATATTGGTCTGTCTGTACAGCAGAGGGATTGTCTACACTACACACACAATTGACAATTGACATCCAATGAGCCGCAAGCAACTGACCCTTGCAGGACATATATCTCTGATTCTATCAATGTGTGTGTCTGTACAGGAGAGGGATTGTCTACACTACACAAGTCCCACAGTCGAGGAGAGGGTCTGAGTAGTGTTGGCAGACTTGCTCTACGCAGCAACAAGTAACATCCGATGAGCCGCAAGCAACTGAGCCTTGCAGGACATATATCTCTGATTCTATCAATGTGTGTGTCTGTACAGGAGAGGGATTGTCGACACTACACAGGTCCCACAGTCGAGGAGAGGGTCTGAGTAGTGTTGGCAGACTTGCTCTACGCAGCAACAAGTAACATCCGATGAGCCGCAAGCAACTGAGCCTTGCAGGACATATATCTCTGATTCTATCAATGTGTGTGTCTGTACAGGAGAGGGATTGTCGACACTACACAGGTCCCACAGTCGAGGAGAGGGTCTGAGTAGTGTTGGCAGACTGGCTCTACGCAGCAACAAGTAACATCTGATGAGCCGCAAGCGACTGAGCCTTGCAGGACGTATATCTCAGATTCTATCAATGTGTGTGTCTGTACAGGAGAGGGATTGTCTACACTACACAGGTCCCACAGTCGAGGAGAGGGTCTGAGTAGTGTTGGCAGACTGGCTCTACGCAGCAACAAGTAACATCCGATGAGCCGCAAGCAACTGAGCCTTGCAGGACATATATCTCTGATTCTATCAATGTGTGTGTCTGTACAGGAGAGGGATTGTCTACACTACACAAGTCCCACAGTCGAGGAGAGGGTCTGAGTAGTGTTGGCAGACTTGCTCTACGCAGCAACAAGTAACATCCGATGAGCCGCAAGCAACTGAGCCTTGCAGGACATATATCTCTGATTCTATCAATGTGTGTGTCTGTACAGGAGAGGGATTGTCTACACTACACAGGTCCCACAGTCGAGGAGAGGGTCTGAGTAGTGTTGGCAGACTTGCTCTACGCAGCAACAAGTAACATCCGATGAGCCGCAAGCAACTGAGCCTTGCAGGACATATATCTCTGATTCTATCAATGTGTGTGTCTGTACAGGAGAGGGATTGTCTACACTACACAAGTCCCACAGTCGAGGAGAGGGTCTGAGTAGTGTTGGCAGACTTGCTCTACGCAGCAACAAGTAACATCCGATGAGCCGCAAGCAACTGAGCCTTGCAGGACATATATCTCTGATTCTATCAATGTGTGTGTCTGTACAGGAGAGGGATTGTCGACACTACACAGGTCCCACAGTCGAGGAGAGGGTCTGAGTAGTGTTGGCAGACTTGCTCTACGCAGCAACAAGTAACATCCGATGAGCCGCAAGCAACTGAGCCTTGCAGGACATATATCTCTGATTCTATCAATGTGTGTGTCTGTACAGGAGAGGGATTGTCTACACTACACAAGTCCACAGTCGAGGAGAGGGTCTGAGTAGTGTTGGCAGACTTGCTCTACGCAGCAACAAGTAACATCCGATGAGCCGCAAGCAACTGAGCCTTGCAGGACATATATCTCTGATTCTATCAATGTGTGTGTCTGTACAGGAGAGGGATTGTCTACACTACACAAGTCCCACAGTCGAGGAGAGGGTCTCAGTAGTGTTGGCAGACTTGCTCTACGCAGCAACAAGTAACATCCAATGAGCCGCAAGCAACTGAGCCTTGCAGGACATATATCTCTGATTCTATCAATGTGTGTGTCTGTACAGGAGAGGGATTGTCGACACTACACAGGTCCCACAGTCGAGGAGAGGGTCTCAGTAGTGTTGGCAGACTGGCTCTACGCAGCAACAAGTAACATCCGATGAGCCGCAAGCAACTGAGCCTTGCAGGACATATATCTCTGATTCTATCAATGTGTGTGTCTGTACAGGAGAGGGATTGTCGACACTACACAGGTCCCACAGTCGAGGAGAGGGTCTGAGTAGTGTTGGCAGACTGGCTCTACGCAGCAACAAGTAACATCCGATGAGCCGCAAGCAACTGAGCCTTGCAGGACATATATCTCTGATTCTATCAATGTGTGTGTCTGTACAGGAGAGGGATTGTCTACACTACACAAGTCCCACAGTCGAGGAGAGGGTCTGAGTAGTGTTGGCAGACTTGCTCTACGCAGCAACAAGTAACATCCGATGAGCCGCAAGCAACTGAGCCTTGCAGGACATATATCTCTGATTCTATCAATGTGTGTGTCTGTACAGGAGAGGGATTGTCTACACTACACAGGTCCCACAGTCGAGGAGAGGGTCTGAGTAGTGTTGGCAGACTTGCTCTACGCAGCAACAAGTAACATCCGATGAGCCGCAAGCAACTGAGCCTTGCAGGACATATATCTCTGATTCTATCAATGTGTGTGTCTGTACAGGAGAGGGATTGTCTACACTACACAGGTCCCACAGTCGAGGAGAGGGTCTGAGTAGTGTTGGCAGACTTGCTCTACGCAGCAACAAGTAACATCCGATGAGCCGCAAGCGACTGAGCCTTGCCTGAACACATCATTGCATGACATACATCTCCAATTGTATAAATGTGATAAATTTTCTAGAAAACTCGCCGTTTGCACCGACGTGTCGTAGAGTCCCGTGCCATGCCGCTTTCCTGGCTCCGTGTATTATATAACTTGCCAAATGCGAATTGTATTATATCGTGTTTTAAATTCTACTCGCATAGGTTTGGAAGCTTCGATAAATTTATTCACAACGTTTGTGACATAGTAAGTCTCGCTGAAACGAGATAGCTCCAGTCGGAGGTTGTCGTGTAGGCCGACCCCTCGGCGCTTGTAGATATGAATATGAGAAGGTACGTTAGGTTAGACAAATAAGCCCATCCGATACACAATAAAATACGTCCGAGTCCATCCTCAACCGGTCCATCATCCTTTGTTAACACTGATAGAATATTTTTACCAGAGAGTCGGTTAGTTTTGTAAGATCGTTCCTTGTTTTAGTCTTTCACCGTTGTCCGCTCTCGCAGATGTAAATAGCTTCCACAGCTTACAGGTCCTTACATGAGATTCGCTCGGTTTTGTTTTTTAATGGATTTTATATAACATATTTTAATGTTGAGGTTCTATTATTGTTTTGTGATAGCGATTTTAGAGATTTTGTTGAATATTTTACTGTTTTACATAACTATTTTTTATATTTTTGTTGTTTTATTTTACATTGTTTTTAATGTAGCTATTTTTTTCAAGTGACTGTATTGTATTGAGATATCATTTTACCACATTTTAAAATCAAATTATTATATATAGTAAATAAAATATTATATGTATAATATTGTCACAACTACTTTTAATAATAATTGAGAATCACAAAAGAAGCAGTAGTTTGAAGGTTTAAAAAGACCTATGTTTGAAATATCGAAATATGTATACGTTTTATTTTTTATTGATATTTCTCTTAATGATAACTTTTTAATTTGACTTTTTTAGTCTCAATATGTTCTGTGGTATTTTTTTCAATGTATTAGGCTGTACATTACATTGTTGATTCTCAAACAGTCATATTTGTAAAATATTTAAAAATATTCCTCTTTTGAGCTCAATTTGCTTATACCTGCAACTGTTGATTGTTGTACTCAAGAATATTCTAACAAGTACTTATCGTTTTATAATTCTAGGCCTACTTGAAAACATTTGAATGCATTTAAACACAAATTGTGATACCCGTCCATTATTTTCTTTAAGAATTTCTGTCTTTTGTCAATTTTAGTGTTAAGATTGTTACGAATGTCCATAACATTACCAAGTGGGAATCAGTGTGTGATTTATTGAATACTTGTGTATTATGGGTTTTCTTGTATTATATTGTTAATTTTTGTTGTTAGATTTATAAGGGTCAGTGATGTGTGCTATATAAGGTTAACGTCTGAGGTGCAATTGAAAGTATTAATGTTATGAAACTATTCTGGAGTAAAAGAAGATTTCCTAAAGTTTTAATAGATTTGTAATGCCAGTTTCAACTTTGAAGTTTAACTTAATTCAAGTGCAACAATACATGTAATTGTTACCAGTTTTTTAAAACAAACACTTTTTTATGGCCCAATGACTATTTGCAAGAAAAGAACGATGGGGCCCAAATAAGTCTGATTTTTTTCATACTGCTTATAAAACCGATGTTAGACATACTACTTATGAAATAAATAACTTATGTGTTAAAAATTCCTGATATTTGATTTTTTGAATGGAGCGTAAGTCTTTTATACAGAGAGTTATTAAGCTTATCTTACACATGTAATTAACTTTATGTATGTAGAGTCAGAAAAATAAACATTTAGAAATATTTAAACTGGAAGATGTATGTTTTCTCCATACCTGGGGTATTGGTAGATGACGTTGCTTATTTTACAACAGAAAGTGACATCACTGTATGAAAACAAATTGTAAAATCCACTGATGTTTCATTTTATGAGGAAGTAAAAGTAATCACATAAAGACTTAATCTTGTTCATGTCACGTACCGTATGATAGTTACTCCAGGTAAGGGATTAGTTTATAAAACATGCCAAACTTGCTAACTAAATCTGTACTTATGTCAAACATTTTCTGTTTGTATTTTTATTAATTTTCTTTATTTTCCTTGTACTTAGATCTCAATGCCACTGGAAGGTTACTATTTTCAACCCTTTTGCAAATCCCCTTTGAGATTTGTTTATTTTTTATAAACATTTTTCCTTGGCCTGTAACAATAAGTACTTACATAGGAACACTGTGTCATTTCTTTTTCTAGTGTAATTATTGGTGCTTTTTAAGTTAACTCTGTAAGGTCCTTGCTATGTCTATGTAAGCTGGTAACGGAATATGTACCAAGCACAGGCTTGCAGTCAGGTCTCCTAAACCACAACTACGCAATATTTCCTTGGTGTATTTTGTATTTTTTCCGATACAGCAATATTTGATCACAGTATCGATCAGCAATATTTTTGTGTCGTGATTTTGGTTTAATGTTTCACCCTTTGATTGTGAGCACTGATCTTTTTAGGTTAATTCCGGAAGCAGCTATTTTGTAATTTATTATCAGAATTGAAACAGTAAATTTGTACTTGAAACATAACATATTTCCCATTTAATTGACTAAGCAAGCATTAAAGGCAAACCCCAGTGGGATTTTGTAAACTGAAAAAGTTGATAAAATGTATTAAATCAATTAAATTACTTACCTACGAAACATCTTGATGATTGATA